CAGAATCTCTACTACTGCTACAGCCATGTTAGTGAACTTAAAGTTGCAATAACATTTTGTTGATGGGAAAAGCAGTTAAAAGGAAGAGTTCAGAGAGTCTCAGACCTTCATCACCACCTGCTGGGACGCAGTATCCTGCATGTAGTTAGCCGCTTCAAAAACAATTAACTTTGAAAAAGCATGACATTAAGAGCAGAGAGCTGCTTAAATCTGACAGCAGGAACCATCGGAGCGTCACAGCCAACCGAGTTCAAAGTTCCCCGTGGAGTTTTTGACCTCTTGAGCTGCACACACTGGTGATGTGATCCACAGTCCTGCCAATGGTTTCACCCCATTCCACTGACCGACTGCTGCAATGCACCAACAAAGGCAGAGAAGAAGAAGACTGAAGGCTACTAAACATGGTGTGAACAATATACGACAATGACAAGTGAAGACAACGTGAAGAAAAATACAGAAATTCTCCAAAGTATGGGATCATTTCAACTCTGTACAGTGTGTCTACCGTAAAACAGAACTAGCCTACAACAACAGCAACGCTTCAGCATCTGAGCAGAAAGCATCTAGATATAAAGGCTATCAAAAGTGAGGCACAATACTCGGTTATAAATGTATAAACATGCTTTTGTTGTCATTGTTCTCCCACTGGTCAGTCCGTGAGTTTGGGTTCTAACGTTACAGTGATATGAGTGACACAGCTGACCGGGGGGCAGCGAGGAAAAGTATTTCAAATCCGATTACTCGATGAATCGAAGAATTGGCAGAATCCTCAATTACTAAAATAGTGGATAGCTGCAGCCTACTTCGCATAGGTTTTATGAGGAAGGAAATGCGTTCAAGGATTCACACAGTGAGTTCTGGTAAGACACACTGAATGGACACGTAGCTTCTGTTTGTTTACTAGCGTAACCTTAGTTACTGTATACATTATAGATTTTGGTTACTTAATTTCTGATAATAATTTATTTTGCTTATGAAACTCTGCAGTATAAGGTGGTAGGATTTATTTTACAGCAGGAGTAATATAATATTATTTGGGCTTGCAGAATTAGCCTGTTCATTAGTACACACAGTAATTGTTTGCTTGTCATTTGTTGATTCAGAGTATTTTGGTTCCCACCTGCGTGTTTCCAGGGGGAGACAGAGGACTGTGACGGAGTCTGAAAACGTGCTACGACGTGTGTGTAGTTACTCTCATGCATCTCGGTGTCGATTAAAGAAGATTATTGAAGAAGACGAAGAACTTGTAGCTGCTTATTGCCCAAAGGACAGGAGAACGCTACCAATCCAGAAAGTACTGTTACACTAGAAAAACCACAAAGGGCAGCTTTAACATTAGTGTTGGGTGTACTGGTGTCCGACGGTGGCGCTGTTCTGTCTGATAACGAGTGTTTGAGGGGGGTATAACAGCTGTTATACACGCAGCCGTAGCTGCGTTTTAATTTACTGTGAGAGCATTTCAACCTGTCCACTTTGTTGGATGTATTGTGCAGAATGTAAACACATTGTAGTTGCACGATTATTATTAGCGGACGGCTACGCAGGTTTATTTAACAGTACACAAACTGAAAATGTTAATTGAATGAATGAATGAATGACTGCAGCAGCAGCTTATCATCTTATTCCAGTTCTGACCCATCATGAACCAGTACCACTTCAAGACCGGTCTTCGGTACCCATCCCTTTACATGAGTCACTGAGAGGCCCTGATGGAATGAGCACTGGTCTAAAGGAAACTGTTGCAGAAACTGCACACAGCAGATGTTGCACCCTGCTGAGCTTCTCTGTTTGGTAACCACTCTGCCAGATGTTAAGGACACTCATATACTAAACCTCATAACTGTAAATAACATCTTTACCAGAGGTTTGGTATAATTCTTTTTAAGGGATCTCTGTTTTCACAGCCTCACGGAACCAAACATCTCACAAACTCTGTTGTTGCTGTTAAGATTTCAGCCTGGAAAATATTCCCTGAGAATCCATAAAGCCCAAGAGACACATGTTGGAGCAATTAGTGAAATATGGCTTCCAAAACCTCATTATCCAGCATTTAAAGTAGGAGTTACAGACCAAAACTGAATCAGTTCTGTACATGTACAGCCCTTTTTTTCCTCTCCAAACAAAAAGCTGTGACAAACCTGATTTTGCTAAAGAGAGTTTAGAAGAAATTTGACAGTCACCATGTTGTTTTCCAGTCTGTTAATTAGAAGACCAATGAAAGCTTAAAGAAGTGGCGTATTTATTTAACTGGGTGTGGGGGAAAAGCTCTCCAAGGGAAACACACACAGACAGACAGACAGACAGACAGACAGACAGACAGACAGACAGAGGTATTAAAGAATGTATCCTGGTGCATCAGTTTGAAAAGACATTTCAAATGTTCTAAATTCAAACGGAGGGCGTGCAAGAGCACCGTCCAACTTGTCTGCTTTTTAAAAACTAGAATTCTTTGGCTACTTTAATGATTAGGTTTTTAGTTTCTTTAGTCAGACACTGAACACCCATTTTCTATTTTGATAAAAGTCAGTGGACTAAAAATAAAAAAAAACAAGGCTTTATTGTGATATTATTCTTGATGATTGTGATCAGGGCTGCAAATAAAGATTATTTTATTATCAATTCATCTGCTGATTATTTCCTTGATTAAAAAGTGAATCACTTGATCTATAAAAGGCTTTAAACTGTAGCTTGTTTTGTTCAACCAACACTCCAAAATGCTCAATTCACTAAAACATAAAGACAAACATAAAGAAAAAGCAGCAAATCCTCACAAGTGAGGAGCTGGAGCTGTGGAATGAACGGTGAAAAATGACTAAATGTTGATTTGATTATCAAAATAGTCCATCTAAAATGTGCCTCATTGTCGAGGGATCGGCCTCCACCCAAACTGGACTCACTCATGAATCATTTGTACTGACTGCAGGCTCACTTCATCCATCCCAACCCAGTAAATTAGCACCAATTGTTGAGCAAACTCTTCCACACCAGCCTCCACCCTCCACACACATTTTACTGACTGAGAGAGGAATGTTTTCACCGTGACAAATGGATGCACAGTGTCGCTGCTCTGAGTTAGCCCTCCGCTGAACGGCAGCCAGGAAAAACTGACGAGGCGAACGCGAAAGCACAGACGTGTCCCAAAGTCTGCAAGACTGGGGCTCGAGCTGCTTTTACACACACACACACACACACACACACAGAACTGTATGAGCTGCAGGAGATAAAACCACCCAAAAGGACCCCAAACTAAAAGCAAGAGTCTGAAAGCCGGTTTCCTCCGGCCTTGAACATGTAGAGAACATTCAGAGGAGCCAGCAGGCAGACTGAGGATCCCTGTGAGGCTGGTGACAAACAGAGTGTACAGAACTAAACCCATGGGACACGATCAATATTCTTACTTTTCCATTCCCATTTTGAACATATGTACAACCAGTGTCAACACCAACAACAGACACGGTGGAATTTGTATTCATATTATTCTGCGTTTTAAGTCACTGTTGCCATTTTCGTCTTTGTTCTCCATCATTTAAGCTTCGCCTCTTTTTTTTTTTTTTCCAGCTTTCTGACTTTTAACCTTTGTTTTTGTTGTGTTTTTCTGCAACAGCTTCACTGAGCACTGACCCTGTCTGTTATTCCTGTGACCCAGGTCAACAACGCAAACAGCACAGGACCACTGACACGAGTCCAGCTGTTCAACATTCAACCTTAAACTAACAACACCTGTTGTTCCTCCAACACCACCCCCCTCCCCACCTGACCGTGAGCTGTCTTGACGTTTCCCGACTTCCCGAGGGTTTCATTTTCTCCTGATATTGTGCATTTGTTGAGACATAGTCACAGATTACAAATATTTGAAAATGTGTGCAGCAGACTGAGCGAGTCTTTACCTGGATGGTTGGAGACCTCTTTGAGAATTTGAGGAACAAGTGTGGGGGATGTTGGAACATAGCCAGGCATTCATCTTTGAGTAATTCAGATGGTGAGCTCTGTATGACCACAACACGACTCACTACAAACATGGGGCCACTCCTGACCTGAAGTGAACTAAGCAGCTGAGGATTTTCAGCCACCAGGTTGTCACCAAACAAACTCAGGTTAACCAAATTCTGTATACGCCCCCCCCAAAAAAGTCCAGATCAGCCCTGCATACAAAAGAACTGTTGGTGTAGCGCTTCTGCTGGTCACCAAACATCCCTCTGGCTCATTTGTGTACATTTAAAGACAAACTTCTGAATCAGCTGTCTGATTTGGTCTCTTAATGCTGCACACATGCAGGCCACCTTCCCTGCATGAACACCTGTGTCGTTCAAACACAACAAACAAAACAACAGGAGCATCTTTTGTCCGTGGACAGACCCAGCAGCAGAGGAGACACGAGACAAAAGAGGGAACAGGTCTCTCTTTGCTTTCCCCTGCGGGACTGAAGAGGCAGGAGCTGCCAGATCAGCGCCACATCAACCTGAGCTGTAAACACCGACAGCAGCATTAACATTAAACCCCCAGCTGAGGTCTTTAACTGTCAGACAAAGTGCCTGCAGGATGGTGAATTGGAGTGTGGGAGAACATTTATGTGGAAAGATCCAAACCAGACAGACAGGTTCCACAGCAGGCGGACTGAGATTCGGGTTCTCTGAAAACAAGCTGGGGTGAAATTAAACCCTGTATTTGACCCCACCGAAACCCTCAGCTGAGTGATATGAACGTGCGGGTTTCAGCTCAGACATGAATGAGACACTGATTCTGACTAATCAGGAGGACAACAGCTGAAATCCACGGATCCTCCTGAAGCGCAGACAAAGACGCGCGCCTCTCTGACTGATTTACAGATTTCCACTTATCCCTAACAAGTCCACATTAAGCTCCATGACAACACAAAGCGAGAGTCGCGGAAGTGTCCCCTAAAAACCCAACAGAAAGGAGCCGCAGTGTGTTTTCTCCGCGCTGGATGAGGCGCGGCGGTGCGTCCTCGCCGCTTCGCTCCAACACGTTTTAGTTTTTACCTTTAATGTAGTCGGATTTGGTCTCATCCAGAAGACCGGACGCGGAGTTCCCCATGGTGCTGCTGCCTGGAGAGGATCAACAGGTAGGGCGCAAACACCGTCACGTCGATCTGCAGCAGTGAATCAGGCAGGGAGGCCCTCCTCCTCCTCCTCTTCCTCCTCCTCCTCCTCTGAACAGTGTGTCATTCAGTGACGCTCCGGCAGGAATGCCTGCTCACTTTTTACCCTAGAGGCGCCTGGAAACCACCCCTGATGCGGTGACAGTTGAGTTAGGAGCCGCTCTCACACAGAGAAATAATACATTCAGTGTATTATTTAAAATGCACAGTATAAACACACTTCTTCATTGCACATGGACACAGTGTATTAGCCCAACTCAGTCTGCGAAGACTTGTGTTGGTCTGGAGGAGTGATAAGAAAAATAACCTGAGTGATGTCATAGTGATGTCATCGGGGTTCAATCAAGCCTTCAGTTATTTTAGCCGTGAAACAGTTAAAACACACAAAGCTCAAACACATTACAGTTGTGTCATACATAAACATATTTTGAAATCACAAATGATCTTTTTTACTTATTGTTTATTTATGTCTTTTGCATCTCAGAGCCATTGAGAAGCCGCGACATCACCGAGGCAACTGGGCAAGAACCAATGAGAATCAATCTACAGCTATAATAACTCCACCCAAACACAGCTTCACAACAGAGACAATTACTTACAATACTTCTTTTTCTAAAATACAGCCTTAGACTTAGTTCAGTTTCAAGTTAAAGATTTATTTTATTTCCTATCTACCTCTGCAGAGTCCATCTGTCTGATCTGCTGCTCCTAATGAAGTGTCCTCTCAGATGATCTGGGATCAGGTCCAAACACCACACAGTGAAGCAGCTTTCAGTTTTTATGCTCTATATATCTAAAGCTAACTTCAAGTCTTCTCCAACTCTCAGTTCTTTTAAATCAGAGCTCAATACTTCACATTGAAGCACATTGAAGAGCCTTGTTGTTGAAAATGTGCTGCACAGATAAACTTGCCTTTCTGTTCTAATTGATGACTTAAATTGTAATAAAATTTATTTTTCTGACAGAAATTAAAGAAGTAGTCCCTCCAATTTATTCACTGTTTACAGTCCCTACAGGACTGTGGTTGTTTTGCACTTTATGCAACTAACATAACATCATTACTCATCTACTGTAACTGTGGAAGATAGAATTATATGTTGAACGTGAGGCTACATCTGTGCACGATTGTCTCCCTCAGACAAAACAGAGATTTTCTGTGGCTCAATAATGAATTGCAACATCACATACCTGAGAAATCAGCAAATTCAGGCTTTGCAGAAATATTTTATTATGTTTTAATAAGAAGGGAGACACAAAACAACAAACAATAAACCAGCTAGAGAAGAAAAAAAGCTTTTTGCAACATGAATTTTCAAGAAGAATCTGAAATAAATATATAAATCGGGCTCATCTGTGCTGCAGGATCAGGTTGGTTTTGCAGTTTTAATAAAAATTCACATTATTTTTTTGGTTTTATTAAAGACTTTCTACTTTGTTCTAGTAAAAGCAAATCCAAATACAGAGAAGTTGGTGGGTTTGTTTGGATATCAGTGCAGTCAGAACTGTGTTTAGGCGAACAGAAGCAGTAGAGTCGGATTAGAAACGAGGCGAGAGTCTGAGAGCGGACTGACTTTGTTGGGAGTTTCCTCTCAGGGGTGTGAGTCGACCTCGGCCCTGCTGGTTTGTCTCACACCGTTTTCTCTGTGGTCACACTCGTCTGAGTCGCGGTGGAGTACGTGGGGACGCTGTACTTTGTGAGGACCGATTTAAACTGCTCCAGCGTGGCGTCGGTTCGAACCCCCGTAGGATCAAAGTGAGTCCGACTCACCCTGAAGCCGGCCTCCGTCAGGTACTGAAGAAACTTGTTCAACCTGTGCAGAGAAACATTAAGCATAAATAAAATGTTATGTCTGTACCGAAGAGGCTGACTGCTCATTAACAGCGGACTCTCCGACCAGTTCAGCCCAGAGGAAGAGAGTCACTTACTTGGGCATGTTCATGCCTCTGATGCTGTGGCGGTGGATGCTGTAGTAGAAGGGCGGATGTTCCAGAGAGGCATCAGACTTCAGCTTCTTCACTACATTTCCAGACTCCTCTCCGGTCTTTCTCTTCCCTGCAGAAACACTGAATATTAGAGATCCGAACAGAAAACTAAACGATGTCCAACATGTTTATTTAACCCCTCAAACTTTGCTAAACCCATCTTTACAATCTCATGTTGTTTGGTCAAATCTACAAAAGTGTAGTTTTAAAATTGTAGTTGAGATCCCTAAGATGTCAGATGTGATTACTAAAAAGAAAAGATATTTACATAGAAAATATTTCCAGTTGGTTTTATGGTACAACTATAGATTAACTGTGTTTTGTTTGTGTTTTGGCTTCTTCTAGCTTCAGTGAAGTATTAACACTGTCAGACAGAGTAAAAGAAACTAAAAATCACAAGTTTAAGAGCTTAAAGTTGGCACTCAAACGTAGGTTTTCCCAGCAAAGCATCTTCTTGTAAATTTTCTGTTGGGGGTACAACATAGTTGGGCTACATTGCCCTCTAGAGGACAAATGTTGAGCTGCAGTAACTGAGGCCAAAATTTCACTTTTTCACTTTTGTTTCTAAAGCACGTTTCAAACAACCGGAATTGCGCTGTACAAATTAAATGTACATTTATTAAATGATAAAAGTCCAACATGGGCCCTAGTTGTCTCTTCTTTGAATATTCTGCTTTGAACTCTTAATGTTGATTCACCTGTTCTGCGTTTTGTTATTAGAGTTTCAGGCAACATGTGAAAGCAAGCATGCTGCAGAACAGAGAAGCAGAACTGGGAATAGAAGGCCACAAGTTCCACTGGTTCAGACTGGGACTCATTATGTTATATTGATTATAGAGGTTTCTAAAAACAGTGACTGACTCACCAGACTGATCAGCAGGACCCGACTCATCTCCGCTCTGCAAGGTCTTAATGACGACGCCACACTCCACTGCAGAGGAAACAGAGCATTATTTATACACGTGTTTCGTCATAGGAACATCCGACACACTGTAAAGATGGGGGGGCGGGTGTCAGACTCTTACCCTGGTTAGTGAGAGCGGACGCCCCGTGGACCAAAGACTTGAGGGTGGTGCACTCGGACTCACAGATCAGAGTTTTGACGAGCGGCTGGATGTCGTCCATACTGTGCTGCACCGCCGCCGACAGCATCCTCCTCAGGAAGCCCGTGTTAAACAGACCACCACACCTGGACACACACATCTGTAACTGTACTATACCTGTGAGGACCTTCACTGACGTGATTCTAACCTGAACCCAAAAACCAAGTCTTAAAGTCTAACTTATGTCTCAATATCTCATTTTTGTTTGTTGCGTACACCGGAGGATTTTTAAAGTACATGCCGTATATAGTTACTTTACATAGTGCTCAGAGAGATGTGTATGTGCGGTTAAAGCTGCTGTGTGCAGTGATACTTAAGAGGTCTTTTACCATAATGGACCCAGCTGCACCGCTGTCTTTCCAGGCAGACTTCCGTGACAGTTGCAGGGCAGCGTGTCTGGAAGAAACACAAGTTAGGACATGATTTACCTTCTCTGCATTTAAAAAAACAACAACTTTATCTAGAACAAAAGGACCAGACCTTATACATTTTGACCAACTCACTGAATGACATTAATTAGCTCCAGCTGATTAAATCTGCCGGCTACAGGTGTCTCTACGGCCGATGAGGAAGCCATGATGGTTGTCGACTCAGTGTTCACAAAACTTTTTTTATAGCTTGAAAAACACTGTCAATACTGATACGGGAAATCTCCGTACATCAGTATGTCCTTGTTGAATATCATTCTCATTTTGCTGCACAGAAAATTTGTAAATCCAACACAACGTAGCGTGCGTAACACCAGGGACAAGGATCAAAGTAAGTCCAGGACTTTGGGATGCTATCGCTGGCAGGCTGATAGCAGTAAGTTTATAAATAGTTTAGAATGTTGCCAATAAACTAAACCAAAGCCAAACCATCACATTTTCTTCCTGTGCATCAATTTGACTGAAGTAAGCAAAAGAGCAGCGGTTGGCAATAGGTGGCCCGCGGGCCAGAAATGGCTCAGTCATGACAGCTACAGTGACTCACACAATCACTTCCTCTTAAGTGATTGTGCCTCCAAAATAAAAGCGAGAGAACTTTTTGTGCAGCAGTGTTTTATGTCAAGTTTATTGAGAGCTTTACTTTGAAGAGTTCTGAAGGAAATTCAGAATTGTCTCTGGCCTGCTCCACACACCTCTGAAAAAGCAGACAGTAAACGTGTGATTGGATTCTCTAAAAATAAGCGTCCATAGGTTTATGAATGCGGATCAAACGTCAGGAAGCGCGCACACAATGCAGCTTATGCTTTATTGTGAGCATGTGCAAAAGTGTCCGTCTGCAGCTAGCCTCATTATCAAGGCCCGGGCCCCCCCCCCCTTTCAAATAACGCACGTCTCATGCAAATATAAATATTACTTCATTTCATATCCTGCACAAAACTGGCACATATTTGTTGTCAATTGTTGATCATTTTTTATATTGTCAATTTATATTTGTTATATATTTTATATATTTGTTTATTCCATATTGATATATTTCTACGTTTATTTGTGTCATGTATGTGTAAAACACTACTTTTCAATAAAGCTCCTGATTCTGATTCTTCTAATTATAATTTATTTGTTTATAATCAGTTTGTTTAACAAGACAGAAAAAAAGATTCTGCAGTATGTTGTGATCGATCGTAACCCTCCCAACAGGAGTCCCGCACACGAGTATCCAAGGATTTGAAATAATTTGACTATGTTCTGGCCCACCATGTAACGGCTTGAAAAAAAAAAATTTGGCCTGATGCCAGACTTATTTGCCGACCCCCTGCAGCAGAGACTCACAAACTCGCATGAGGAACGCACCGGCCTTCTATAACTGACAGCACTCACCGTCCACCATGTTGCCCAGTTTGAGGAAGACTCTCTCTTCGCACCACTGACAGTGGACCAGTTTCCTTAACTTCTTCGCTGACTCGTCAGCCTGTGTTGGACCCCTGAGGACTCTCACCACCACCAGGACAAAATGCTCCAACGCCACCGCCAGCAGCACCTCGATGCCTTTGTTGCAGCGAGCCGCCGCTCTACAGCAAACAGCAAGAGATCAGGATTCAGTTCAATCATGTTTTCTTCAGCCTCTGTATCACGTTAGATACAAAATTAAAAGTTCTACCTGGCCACGGTGGCTATGACCATGCGTGCAGCGAGCTCTTTGTAGTACTCGGTGCGTACGATGTGGCAGCCGTAGTGACGCAGGGTGACGTTGGGAGACTTGGAGTACAGAGAGCCCGTGTCGGTGGACGTCACAGAGATGATGCCCAAGTTCCGGACGTTCCTGAAGGCGGCGTCCAGGTAGTTCACCGCCGTCCCATACGGATCCAAGTGACTGAAAGAGATAACGCGACTAATTAAGTCACTTTGTTTCTTTATTTGAAGAATCCAAAAAGCCCCCATGCATCCAAGCTAATCCCTCTTTTACAGACAAGTAAAGTTTGTCAATTACACATTGAAAAAAGACCTCTTAAAGGTTCAGTGTGTGAGATTTAGTGGCATCTAGTGGCGAGGGTTGTAAATTGCAACCATCTGTCCAGTCTACCACTGCCCCCTAACCTTTCAAAGAGCGCAGGACAGCTACGGTGTCTCTTCTGAGACAGCAGAGAGTGGCCAGTCAAGAAATGAGGTTTCTTTAGGTAGATTTATTAAGAAATTATATTTACTGAATTATTCAGTAAAACCATGTGTTATTGTGACTTGGCCACTGAGAGATAACATGGAAAATGTGAGCCAAACACTGTCACTGTTTCTGCACCACAGTCCATTACAGACCACACATTAGATAAAGTTTATACAAACATTGACCACTTCCTCTGTAGTGGTTTTGCCTACAAAATAAAAGCGCAAGAAGCTTGTTTACTACAATTCTGTATTTGGACTTGAACTAAGTTTTTACTTTTGAATGACGTTAAAAGAGTCTGTAGCTGCTTGACACACGTCAGAAAACGTGATTCCCCTAAATGTCCTCAGCCTGGAGATACTGGGGAAATGAAAAAAGCGTCCGCAGGTTGATGGATGAGGATCAAACACCGGAACAAAAACAGTGCAGCACATGACGCGATCTAAGAAACGTTCACTGCAGAATTCATTTGTGGAAGAGAGAGAAAAAAATCTGGACAACAACGGCGCTCTACGGCTCCTAGAACACGTGTCAGAAAGTGTCAATAAAAGGAAACAATCTAAATCTATCTTTCAAAGCTAAATCGATTACAAACATGAACAAATCCTCCTACTTACATGTAGTCGAAGGGCCGCAGGTGCATGATGACATTTGCGTCCATCTTGGCCACCTCCACCGTAGCGATGGGCACTCCCTTGGCTTCACTGCCGGCCACGTCGGGCCCCCGGGGTCCTCGCGAGCATCCGTCCACCCGGATGTTGTTGAGCTCGCAGTTCTCTTTGATCATTTTGACACACGTGTCGCTGATATCCGTTATGGTCACTTTGACGGCGTTACGGAGGTGCTTCGCCCACTGGAGGCCCATAATCCCTGAGAAACAGACGCAAGATGGAGTCGCAAGGTTGCATTGTGGGTCTGGGATTTAAAATATGTGGTTAGGCTTGATAATCAATCTTGATTTAATTTTCTTTAAACTAGGGCTGCAACAAACAACTGTTTTCATTATTAATCACTTATTTTCTCAATGAATCCATCACTGTCTGTCAGAAATGACGTTTTCCTAATAAACCTTTTTAAAACTACTAGTTCTTGCATTTACAAACAGGCATGTTATGTGGTACTAACTTGTGTTTTATTCAGTGGAGTTCTGCTTATTTTAATGCTGCTTTCATTATTTCAGGAGATGATTACAGTCTCACCTGTGGCTCCAAAAGCATCCAGACACTCGAGCGGGTTTCTCTCTTCAGCCAGAACAGCCAGCGAACAAAACACCAGCTGCCTGAAACACACACACAAATTCAAACGTCAAAAAATCTGCGCGTATATTTCTGTAAGAACTCGTTTCGTTGTGCGTGCCGACCTGTTGGTCTTCATCTTGCGGTTGAAGTAGGTGTCACTCTTCTGCGGGGTGGTGTGGTTTGGGAGGAGCTGGACGTTGGTTCCGAGTTCTTTCATGATTTCATACGCCTGGCCGGAGGGAGCTGCTGACACATTCAATCACAGTAGCATCACTTTTTACACTGGATTTTGTTGCATGAGGACAAAGGAGTCTCTGGGGATTCACCGACTCGCAGCTCAAAGCGACGCCTCAGCAGACAGGACCGGTGAGGAATAAGGAGATCTGGACATAAAGCATGTCTCTCATAGGACAGAAGGTTCCGGGCGTTGCTTAGCCAAAGCTACATTACCACAGCATGTGTATGAATAAATAATTCTAGTGTGTTTTCATAGATTTTTCTGCATGGTGTACAAGTAACCTGTCATCTTAAGTGTGCTGAACTTGATGGCAGTTGCCTAATTACACATCGATCTAAGGGAAATATCTGACCCTTTAGTTTCCCCAGACTGCGTCTGTCTGCTGCTGAGCAGCTCGTGTTGTACAGCAGCTTCTTCTCTGAAAACAGCTTGAAATGACGCAATGAGACACTTGTGGGCTGGAAAAACCACAAGAATGAGCTGAAAGCCGCCATAAAGCTCCGTAGAGCCAAAGGGAGCTGCAGAGCTTAGAGAGAGATCCGTTGGTTGATCACTCGACTGATCGCTTTTACATATTGATTATAGCCATTTTCAAACCAACTGAATCAAAAGTTTTAGTTGACCTCAGACGGTCGGTCACTAGTTCGAGGTCAAGTTTATTCTTATAGCACATTTAAAAACAACCCTAGTTGACCAAAGTGCTTTCCAGGTTCAGAATACACAACATATATATAACATATAATATACATGACAACAACAGTAGAGAAGGTCGATAATGTCAATACTCAACTCTGTTTGAAGGCCAAGGAAAAGAGGTGGGGCTTTAGCAAGAACTTAAAAGTGTCAGCGGTCCGAGCATTTCTTATGTCAACAGGTAAAGTATTCCAAAGCTTAGGAGCAGCTAATGAAAAGGCTCGATCTGGGGACATCGAGGAGCATCTGATTGGATGACCTCAGCGCTTTGACAGGACTGTGTGTGCATGTAAAAGTTCTGATAAAAATGGTACACAACCCTTTTAAGTTTTTAAAAACTAGTAATAAAATGTTAAAATCAATCCTAAAGCGGACAGGACACTACTACAACCAGAGGATGCTGTCTATGAGCAGCTGATGTCACAAACTTCATCAGACTGTAGAGCGCTGACAGGAAATGGGGGCCGGAGACGGAGATGTTTCTCACATTGACCACCGGGACGCCCCGGCCATGATCAAACACGGTTATGTCGTGGATATGATAACTCAGCTAGGGCTGGCTGTCAGCAGGTGGGTCGCCCACTAATCAGAAGATCAGTGTTTTGATCTCTGGCTCCTCCGGTCTGCATGTCGAAGCGTCCTTGTGTAAGAACGTGTGTCAGAGTGATTTCTGAATGTGACAAGCCGTGCAAAACGCTTTTGAGCGGTCGGAAGATTTTAAAGGCGCTATACAACTGCAGTCCACATTTTTTCAATCAGCTAGAACAGTAAAAACTCTTGATCTTAACAACAGGTACAGGTGATATCATGATATTAAAGGGACCAAACCTCCAGACGAATGTTATCGTAGTAAAGGGGCATTCCAAAAAGTGTACACACGAGGATCAGTTTACTCATGAGGAGCACGACACAGCCCGTGTTGTTGTATAATACATCTGTGGCTCTGGAGGAGCTCCGTCAAGTCTGAGAAAATAACCCGCTTCAGCCTGGAGACTACAAACCAGTGCTACAGCATCCAGGTGTAAGGAGTTTTAGATCAGCCGGGGAAGGTCTCGCTGAGATACAGTAGTATAGCGTTGCATTAAGGGAAGTGTAGGATCCAGTATTTTGTAGAGCCTGGATGTCTCAACCATCACTGCTTTAATTCTGCTCATTTGTTTTTTAACACGTCTCTAGTGAGTCCCCCCGATCGCCCCGTGTTCAGCCAGTGAAGCGATTGTGGGTGTCGGAGTTTATTACCCGGCTCCTCGAACGTGGTGTCCGAGCTCCCGGAGTAGCTGGCTTCAGTCTCTCCTTTGTTGACGTGTCGCTTCAGGTGGCTGACCATGTCCGTCTTACGGGCGATGGTGACAGAACACACGACACAGTGGTAGTGAGCCACGTGTCTCCCCGAGGCCTGGAAAGGGTTTAATACAAAACAATTACTGGTTATGGAAACAAAAGTACTGCAGATACTTTACAGTATTGTCATGTGGCAGGACTAAAAGGAGTACAGACAGAAGTGTTTAAATCAGATCTTACTAGGTCTCAGAAACCATCTCCATTTTCCTTATAGTTACCAGTTCACACCGTGTACCAAATTCATTTATTAAGAAATTACAGGACTGTCAGCTGTTCTCTGCTTTACATCAACCAATAAAAGGACAGAACCCAGGCAGCTTTAATTAGACAGCAAATTATTGTAAAGAAGTGGAAGACACCTCAAGAAAAGTTCTTGAGTGGGGAAGATTTATTTCTAAGAAAGCTGTTTTGTATTTTAGTGTCATGTGTGTGTTTGGTTGAGCAGCGAGAGGGAAAATGAGGCTGTGTCAAAATAAAAAATTGCAATAATCATAAAAACAGAAACCGCAGGACCCTTGAATTAAAGCCGCTGAAGGGAACCTGATCTGTGGACAGTTTGTGTGTTTTAATTCCTCACCTGATCTCCACTGAGGCTGGGCTTCAGGTTTCTGCAGGGCAGGTGGCAGATGCACATCCTCTGGCCTGTTAAAGGTCAACAATTAAGTTGTTTGAATTAGGATTTGATGGCGTGTCTTCCCATTCAGCCTAATTTCCTGACATCAAGATATCAGTAATGTCAGTTTCAAACCTGTTTATTTATTTATTTATTTATTTTACACGTCCGGAAATCACTATATTTATCTTTGTGTAATTTTTCAGACCTTTACAAGCACTCTAAAAAAGGATGTGGACTCTTCTCCACGTCCTGTGAGGCTGTTCTCGTGCTCTAACAGTATAAATGTACTCTAAAATCTATGAAAATAGCAAAAAATAATGCTAAAAGTGAAGCATTATTTTAAGCTGTAACCACTAAACCATCTATATTTTTACTTTATAAGAGACTCAACTGATTATAAATCCTCACTGATGAACTTCAAATCAATGTCCCGTACATGTTTCTTCCATCTTAGAAACATTGCCCGACTCAAACGTGTTGTTTCAGAGACAGAACTAGAGACGATCAATCGTGCATTCACTTCATCCTGATTAGACCACTCTAACCCCCTCTTCACCTGCCTCAGCAAGGCGTCTCTGGACCGTCTACAAATGGTCCAGAACGCTGCTGCTAGGCGGTTAACCAGGTCTTGCAAGACAAGTCCCATCACACCCATCCTGCCATCGTTACATTGGCTCCACGTCAGTTTTCTACGTGTAGAGCCCTGCATGGTCAGGCACCTGGGTACATCTCCGACCTGCTTCACCCGTATACCACCACTAGGCCACTTAGGTTCTTCTAAGAACAAAAGGTGACTGTGGAACGCCTTTTCCATCTACTTGCATTACGCAGGAGAAGTATTTTACTGAAGCTGACCTTTGTTTCGCCAGGCGCCATCTAAAGTGTGCAAACGTCTGTTAACGCTTACGTTTCATTGATTATTAATGATTAATATTTTACGAAGTTGTTTCTTTACAATTGTTCTTTTCTTACTCTTTTAAATCACTTTGAGACTTTGTTCCGGGACGAATGAAACACTTTTCAGATAAACGTCATTTTAAAATATCACGTTACAGACAGAAATCATTTGTTGCTGTCATCAACAACTCACGTGTGTGTTCTATCAACACCAGGTGTTCTCTTGTTAAAATGTGGAACGACTTCAGTATAATTTCACTTTGAAGGAAAGGTGCGCATTGTTTCATCCGTCCCTACTGTGCAGGACGGATGAAACACAATGATATACATTTAAATAGTTTAAGTTATTCTTGTTTTTATTTAGAAAGCTTGACACTGCCCTTCTTAATACGTAATTGCAAACTAAATATGTCCTTTATCTTAATAAAAAATAGTATAAATACAACTTAGCAAGCTGACTGGAAAATCTAACAGCTAATGCACATTTGGATTAGATTTGGCTGCCGTTTTTATCTACATCTGCAGCCTGTTTTCCTGCTCTACTGTGAAGATCCTGTTATTTGGCTGTGAGCATCCTGGTGGTCCAGCCTGCAGCCTGGTGGACTCTGCCCCCCTCCCGCCGGTTCTAAATAAGGTAGAATGGATTGAAACAGGTGTTTCAATCGTCCCGACAGTGACGCTTGACGTTTAAACTTCACTCGCTTCTAAACTGTAAAACTTTGACATTTCAAATTTCAGGATGTGTTAAAGTACTAACTAATCTTTCATGACCACGGCACATGGAACAATAAACTCAACTCGTCATTCAAAAAGAAAAAGATTGCTTGAGTGAATTTACTTTCTGTGACTGAAAACAGCTTCTTTCATATAACTACATGAAAGTGTGACGTATCCACCTGATTTTTCCCGGTTCTGTTAAATACTGTGTTCTGTATGTGCTGAGCTAGTTTGGCATATCAGATGTATGTATGGGCTCCGAGAAAATCTCTGTTTCATTCGTCCCGAGTCTCTCCCCTGTTTACCTAAGTCTTGTCTGACCATCGGCTAATTACGTCAACACTAATTTTCCCTGCCGGTGTTTGCAGGTTTGTCTAAATGCTTTTTGGTGAGTAAATGTTTGGACAACAGTGTTTGTCTCTTTCCAGTTCTCAACACGACGGTGTCCCTGTGCACAAAACCAGCTCCATAAATAAAGTGGTTTTCCCAGTTTGGTGTGGAAGAACCTGACTGGCCTGCACACAGAGTCCTGACCTCAACACATCCAGCCCTCTTTTGTATGAACTGGAACGCCGACCTGATCACCAGCGTGTGACTAAGTGTTTCACCTTCAAACTCCACGTAGACTTTCCAGTGGAGGTTCTGCAGGTGTCGGCGGAGCTTGTGGCTGTAGCAGGCTTTAAACTTCTCCTCAGGACACAGAGGACACGACTTCCGTCCCGCTGATGAGAGAAAACACAACATCACTAAGGCTGCAGCTAACAATTGGTTTCATTATTATTTTCTTGATTAATCGACTGGTCTATAAAATATATTTAAAAAAACAACATTTTAAATATGAAATCTTTAATGTTTTGTCATCGTTCACCCATCGTTTAAAGCACCAAAAATGACCAACTAAGCTTAAACAAGTTAAATGTGGCCATTTTTACTTGAAAAATGACTTGAACAGTTAATCAATGATGAAAATAGTTTGATTAAGTGTCCTCTGTTTCCTCTACGTCATCTCATTTATTTTATCACAATAAGAAAAAGAGAGGAATGATGAAGATTTACTGAAGAGCTGAACTTACCACCACTGAGTTCAACCAGCATCTCGAGGCCTTCCAGTTTAGTGTGGATGGAGATGTGTCTCTCTGTTGGTAGAAAAGGAGAATAATCGTTATTTTCATCAGGTCAAAATGTCAGAAAACATCAATCTGTAAAGTTTTAGTCATCCTGTCATTAAAGTTTCCTCCTTAAAATTCCACAAATACAGATGAAGCTGACAAAGCCATCACTAACTGATCAATACACAGGAACAGCTGTTATTAAAAAAGGTACCAATAGTTGTGGTTGAGGGTTTGGCATCGCTGTCTGCAGCAGCTTCGCTCTTCGCCGGCTGTTCTGCAGCTTGGTCACCATCGCCGCCTACACTCACACACACACACACACACAGAGGATTGTTTCAGAGCAGCTACACAGAAAACACTGTTATCATGTTAGTATGCTGTAATCTATTAGACTTTATAGATCCTACACTGGGAAAATTCACTTGTTACGACAGCTCCAGATACAACACAACCATCCATCGTCTTCAACCTCTGATCCTGTACATTCACAGGATCCTGCTGTCCGCTCTCTCAGCAACGGGCATCTCGAGTAAAGCACTCCTGTGTTTCGAATCCTACCTCTCGGGGTGTTCCTACAATGTTTTGTGGCAAGGACACTTATCCTCCTCCCACTGCCTCTCCACATGGGTGCCCCAAGGCTCAGTGCTTGGGCCCCTTCTCTTCTCAATTTACACCACCTCACTGGGGCCGATCATTCGCTCGCACGTATCATCTTCCTACCACTGCTACGCAGACGACACGCAACTCTACCTATCCTTCCCGCCAGGCGATCCCACCGTCTCGGCGCGGATCTCGGACTGTCTCTCTGACATATCTGCATGGATGAAGGCTCGCCACCTTCAACTAAACCTCTCTAAGACTGAACTCTTGGTCATTCCAGCCAAGCAAACTATCCACCATAACATCACACTACAAATTGACTCCTCAACCATCACTCCAACCAGGGTGGTGAGAAACTTGGGTGTCATGATTGATGACCAGCTGTCCTTTTCAGACCATGTTGCTACTGTCTCTCGGTCATGCCGCTTTGCTCTATACAACATAAGGAAAATCAGGCCCTACCTCACTCAGTACGCCACTCAGCTTCTGGTACAGGCCATGGTCATCTCTCGCATCGACTATTGCAATGCCCTCCTAGCAGGTCTTCCAGCTTGTGCGGTGAAACCCTTACAAATGGTTCAGAACGCAGCAGCGCGTCTGGTTTTTGATCAGCCCAAAAGGACTCATGTCACTCCATTACTCAGTGACCTCCACTGGCTCCCCGTGGCCTCCAGAATCAGATTCAAGTCACTAATGCTGCATACAGAGTGACTACTGGGTCTGCACCATCTACCTAAACTCCATAATACAAGTTTACGTTCCTTCTCGGCCGCTACGCTCCTCCAACAAATGCCGCCTGGATCTGCCATCCCTTCACACAAAGCGACCTCAGTCCCTGCTCTCATCTGTGACACCACTATGGTGGAAGGAGCTACCACACGCCATCAGAGCAGGGGCGTCGCTCTCCAACTTCAAGAAGCTCCTAAAAACTCTTCTGAGAACACTTCCTCTTATAACTCCTAACTTCTAACAAGCACTTCCTGTGCTCTTTTCTTCTTCTTCTTCTTCTTCTTCTTCTATCTCCTTACAATTAAATAGTATTGACTATCACTTTTTGGTTAACTCTTACTTCTTTCCCTAGGTATTTACTCCATTGATGCGATATGTGCCATTAGCGGTTACTAGTATTTATTGCCAGTTGGAGATCTCATGCTGTATTTGATGCTTTGTTTCTGCTTGTATGTTGTTTCTTAAATGTAAGTCGCTTTGGATAAAAGCATCTGCTAAATGAGTAAATGTACAGGGACGCGGGGCTGCAGCCAATCCCAGCTCACATTAACATTAAATAAAAAATATAAGATAGGCCTATAATAGAAACAGAAAAATAAGAATAAGAGTTATGTATGTCTGCTGATTGTAGTCATGGCCCTGTAACAGTAATATGAATACATACAATTAGAAACTTTTTGGTGATTGGCCAACTTCGTGTCGGGGATATTAATGAACATATCAGCTTGCATCAGTGTAAATATGCCATATCTGTGGTACTACCATACCCAGCAGGTCATTACAAGGTCAATACAAAAAGGATAAAATGATAAAAGAGACACCACAACATACAAGACTTTATGCTTCACTCTGCAGATCATGAGCTGGTTTCCAAAGTAAAACAGGTATCAGGTGCAAGATGTTATGTTAGACATGCATGTTTAAAATGCCATTCTATGCAATTTAATGTATTCAGTGCAGTAAAGTGCTGCATCGAGAGTAATTTGGTCTCCTGACCTCAGTGTGTTCAGTTTCTAAGGCCCTGATCTGTTCCCACTGCTGAACAGATGATCTTATGTTGTTTACAGAAGTTAACAGCATCAGTGCTTAAATGTCAGCTGGCATTAGTTGGTTTCTTTTTCCTCTTTAAATTAAAACCACCCTCTCTCCGTGGCCGTTAAACCGTGAACGAACCTTTAATAAACAGACAGTTTAACGTCCAAACGGAGCGGCTCTGCGGTCCTGTAGTGCAGCTCCGCGGTGAGGCCGTGTCTCCCGAAACTGTAGCGCAAGTGCAACCCAAAATACAACACTCTGATAAAGCCTCTGCGAAGAGCTACACTACTGTACTCAACCGGTAACAACAACGGTTCAGCTAATGTCAGCTCAAGCCCTTTTGTCGCTGCTATTGTTGACTATTTAGGTCCCATGGCGGAGCTCCGTCGTGAGGCCCTCGTTTAGTTCAGCACTTACAAACTCAGATCCTCCGCGAATTCGCTGCGCAGCGCAGATGGGGCCTAAACTACAATTTATTCTCCACTTTAACACCCTAAATTTAGTGTCCAAACGACAGACGGGGTGCAGTTTACTTACGTTTGATATCGACGTCCTCCTGGTGTAGCTGAGCAGCGTCTGCCTCTTTGAGCTCCGCCATTGCTGACTACAGCAACATACGCAGGAAATAGCTCCTTCGTACGTAGTTTACGTAAACTGCGCAGGTTTTAGTTGCCACTTCATTTAGTACCAGTCTTTTTATATACAGTCTATGGTAACAGCACGTAACGGTTAAATAAAGCATTAAAACAACTGTATAACATATATCTACTGTGATACATGAACAAATAAGAGCTTCTGTATGTACTAAAAGTGTTTTTCTGTTAAAAAGTCATGTCATGCAGCTTTGTGCTGTATAATGACAATAAACAACCTTGTCAGCATTATTAAAAATAAATGTTCAAATAAACACACCAGGAACTACATACAAGGTCTCCAGGTCAACTGTTCTAGACTTCACTTACATTTATTCATTTATCCAAAGCGACTTACAATTGCCATACATGTCAGAGGTCACACGCCTCTGGAGCAACGAGGGGTTAAGTGTCTTGCTCAGGGACACAATGGTGGATGTCTCACAGTGGGAATCGAACCCTGGTCTCTCACACCAATGGCAAGCATCTTCTCCGTGCGCCATCACCACCCCACTTCACTTTATGGAGAAATTAATTTGCAGAAAATGTGGCTAATGCAGACAAATTCTGTCTTAACACACACACACACACACACACACACACACACACACACACACACACACACACACACACACACACACACACACACACACACACACACACACAGCTCAATTTCTATTTGCTGACATAAAATAATATTTTATAGGGTTTTTTGTATCTTGGAGATGGCCATGCTTATGGCAACATAATATAAAGTTAAATAAATACCTACAGTTCAGAAATTAATTAAAATTTAATCAAAAGGCTTTTTTTTCTTTTAGCCAACCAGCTACTTCAGAAAGTCAGAGGTAAAATTCTGAGTTTAGAAGCTCACATTTCTAACTAGCTAGCTGGCATGCATATATTTTACCTCAGACTTTCTGCTAATGAAGCTCCAGCAACCTCATGGTTTAAAAGTCTGAGAAATAAATTATAGGAAAACTAATAACACAAGTTTATTTCTACAACATAGGTCTATAATCCCCTTTTAACCAGCTACTTGTAGTATATTTTATCTGTAATTTGGACATATTAAAGTGATTTCACACCATGGCCCCCCCATGGGGGGGGGGGGGGGGGGGGGGTTGCCTTTTCCCTAAAAAAAATACATTTGATTAAATACTAATTAATTTGTCAACTTTAGCTATTTACAATTTATTTATAACATGTTACCTAAAGCATTGCCTTCTTAAAGATCCAAAGGAAATCAATAAAATGTTCTTTAATGTGTCATTGAGTTTGGGGGCTGCAGTTTCTATTCCTGAGAAACGAAAGTCGAGGCGCATCTAGGAATCTGAATCTGCTCAGTGCACGCAGTCTGTGCTCAAAAGTCACCCGGGAGTCTATATTTTTTTTCCATACCTTTGCTTTCCGAAGGTCACTGAAGAGGAGTTGCTGCAGTGTTTTATCCCTCAAGTCGGCCGCCGCGCACACTTTACGTGCAAACAGCCCCGCCCGTGGTTTCCTCTTCGACTTCAGTGAGAACATTTAAAAGCTGCTCAACAACATCCTTCTCAGCAAAGCAGGACATCGTTGAACCCATCGCAACGTCGAGGAAACAGCTTAATAATGAGGTGAGGAGCTGCTTCTGCATTTCATGTCCGTGGACGAGTAAATAAAGAGGATCGTTATGATTTATTTAATGTTTTATTATGGCGTCCCAGAAGGCCAAATATTAACATTAAATATCCGACAAGTCAATGACGCAGTTTTCAATCACTGCTGCTCAGTTATCCATTACTTCTTCTGCTGCTGCTCCTTTTCTCTCCTTTCTTTCTTTAGTCTTTACTTACTTTCTCTCTTCCTGTTTGTTGTGGTTTTTAACACTTTTTCCTGCATCTGTTGTTTTCTGAAAGTTGAAAGAATCCCACAAAAATATTATTTTTAAATGTGTTTTTTGTTTTAATACAATGAATTCATTGTTCTTGTAATTTTTGTTTTCTACTTTATAGTTATGCTCAAAAAAATAAAAATAAAAATGTGGGTCTAATGTGATCTAGAGTCTTACATCATTGCTTAATTCCGTCCTCTTCTGTATTTCCTCATCCATTGTTTCCATCTTCTCTTTCGTTTCTTTACTACATTTAATTTTTCCTGTCTTTACTTCCTTGTTCTCTTCTGTCTCACTCCATTTCTTTCCTCCCTGATGCTCTTTGCTCCGTTTCTATCCACATCAGATGAAAGGTGGTTGTCCAAACGTAGCAGCACACTTCACTGCTGATGATGCGTTTTAATATTTGCCATTTTTATTCTCCATCAGTGCCGCTCAGAGTCCAACAACACTGGCGTCCAAACTGGAAGCCCTGCAGTGCCACTTCACCTGGGATCTGGACCCCAACAGGTCCAAACTTCTCCGGCTCAGGGACAAGCTGGAGGACATCGGCACCGAGGAGGGAAACAGCTGGCTGGGTCACATTTACAACCTGCGGGGGTTCATTCAGTACCAGCTGGGGTTCACAGAAGACGCCCAGAGTTTGTTCAGCAGGGCTGCAGAGGCCTTCCGCCAGATGAGGAACTCAGATGAGGGTCCCTGGTTGGTGGTGCACTACGGGAACATGGCTTGGCTGCAGCACCACCTGGGAGACCAAGCAGAGAGTCAGGCTCACCTGACAAAGGTCGACACCCTGATGGAAAAATACCCATCTCCATCCCAGGACGAGCTCCATCCGGAGATCTACGCTGAGAAAGCCTGGACCCTGATGAAGTTCGGCGCCGATAAAAAGCGTCTGGCTGCAGATTACTTCCAGAGAGCCATCAGGATGCAGCCGGACATGGTGGAGTGGAACACCAGCCACATCTTAGGGTTAGTGAGTGCTTTAAAGCACAGCAACACGGGGCTGAAGGCTGACATCTTGGAGAACATGAGACTCGCCAAGGAACAGGATCCAGAGAACTTGTACCTCGCTGTTCACTACCTTGAGCAATGTGGTAAGAAAGGAGACAGGATTGAAGATGAGGCACGCGAGTTAGGCAGAAAGGTTGTGAGAAATCCTCTCGGCAGCTACAGCGGGATGAAAGCGGTGCTGAGGGTTTACAGAAACTACGTATCTGTCGATGAGGCCATTGATTTGGCAGAGGAGGCTCTGGAACAACATCCAGATGAGCGTTATCTGAAGAGATGCGTGGCCCTCTGCTACAAATGGAAGATCATTTTTTTCAGAGAGAGTCACCCAAAACAAAGCATGATAGACCGAGCGATCAGTCTCCATAAGGAGGTCATTTCTCTTTACCCCCATTCTTCGCTCGTGAAAAAAATTGATCTCGCAAACATATACGCAAAGTCCCATCGTGACCAGGCTAAAGCTGAGGAGATGTACCAGGAACTGCTAGACAGTGATCTGGAACCTGCAGATAAACAGATGCTCTACAACAACTACGCAAAATATTTAAACTTCGATCGACGAGATAGCAACGGCTCAGTGAAATATCACATGAAGGCGGCTGCGATACCGCAACAGTCCTTCTTTCGAGAGAACAGCATCAGAGTTCTGGAGAAGCTTAAAGACAGGAGGAGGAACCGCATGTGCAGAGAAATAGAGCTGTTTCTGGCAAACCTGCAAGAGCCGTAGTGTTTTTAACAGCTCTGGGTCAAATTCCACAAAGAAATGTAGGTAGTGCATTACCTAAAATATCTTTACATACATTCATATCTTTACATACACATTAGGAAAACTTGTGGAAAATTTTAAGTTAAAATGGAAATGACCCACTAATCGCAGTGCCACAGGAAGTGATGTTTGGCCCCATTCAATGCAAATAATGAGTGCAGATTTACTTCACCTCTGATGGCGATTCCACTGAAAATAATTGCTTTTGTGCTAGAAAGCTGATAAAGCGCCCTCTTGCGTGCCTTTTCCAGTGCAGGAAAGGTGATGCAGTGCCATATACACTGATCAGCCATAACATTACGACCGCCTGCTGGTCTCCCTTTCGCCGCCAAAACAGCCCTGACCCGGATCGGACCACACGGCCAAGCCTTTGCAGTCCGTGACCCCGTTGCCGTTTCACAGCTTTTCCTTCCTTGGACCACTTTTGATAAGTACTGACCACTGCAGACCTTTTTGGAGATGCTCAAATCCTTACGCTGCCCATTTTAGCTCCTATTTGTTTTTTGTCAGTGGTCATGATGTAATGGCTGGTGGGTGTAGACTCCTCTACATCCTAGAAAAGGTTTCACCATAAATGCATTATGACTTTCTCCATGCTCTTTTCTTCACCTATTATATTTAGAGTATATCCTTTAAAGGCAGGTTTCAAGAAGTTTTTACACTATAATTCAGCTATTGGAAAACAAAGGCTGTTTAAAATCTAAAAACGTTTACACTGTATGGGCCTTTAAATAACATCCACTGTGGACAATAATTCAGTAAACTACATTATTAATTAAAAGATTTTGATGAGATGTTTTTTAAAACTTTAAACTATCTATAACCCTGCTGTTTACTATATTGTTATTTTTATTGTTTATGTAAGAACCTAATGCACTCTGTATGAAATCTGCTTTGCTGTAAGCTTTGGAGTAGTGAAAATAAAACTTTCTGCTAAGGAATGTAATAGTTAACGATGTAAAACCCAAATATTATTGCCAGATGCAACTGACTGAAAGCATAGAAAGTTGGTCAAGTTGTCTCATATACACAATACTAATAAACATGTACGCTAAGAAATGGTCTTAGAGTTTTTTGTTTTGGAGGTTACAGTGCTTTCCGTGCGGCTCACAGGGCGCTGATGGGACGCCGATCAAACTACAACTTTTGAAAGCTGCTGCCGACATCAAATTAGGAAACTGAGAAGCAAAAAAGGTTTATTTATTCCCTGTGTAAGTCTGATGTCTGAGATTTTTTGGGGGAAAAAATGTTTAATTTAACTATAGTTTATTATTTATTTATTTATTATTTATTATTGCAAAGTTCATTGGAGCCATTTCTGTTTAATTGTACCCTATAGAGTAGCATGAAAACTGGACCACAGCTGTAATGTTTTCAGTGTTATTTTACCTGACAAAGTTCCTTGTAAATAAAAGTAGCATCAGTCAAGAATTGTGGATCCTCCAAAAACACACGGTTGATGAATCGGGGTCTTTATTTCTATGAAAAACGTCAGGTCAGAGCGTGAAACTCGTTCTTAACATACAGAAACACATTTTCTACATTTACACAGATTATCAATAATGAAACCCTGAGGGCTTTTCATCCGGAATATCTTACAGGCAGGTCAGCAGTCCAACGTGTAAAATGGATATTACTTAATAAAATAAAAAAAACCCTCAAATTTCAATGAAGATTTAGAGGAAAGACCTCTGACAGTTTGGAGGTAAAAAAAACAAAAAACAAAACAAAGGAAAAGTAAAATCACTCATTTCCTCTTCGACTCTTCTTGTGACTTTTTTTTGAACTCCTGTCATGTGAAAGAAACAAAATAATGTTGAATGGTTAACATCTCATAACCAATAATCAAATCACTCTGGAAATCTCTGCTGTACGTTACATTTCACTTTCACAGCCATTTTAGTTACATGTTGGCGTCACAGAAAGCGCGCAGGGCGTCTGAAACCTCAACACAGCGTTGTTTAGGGCTGCAAGATTAATCAAATTTCAATCATGATGTCAGCCTCTGCGATTACATAACCGCAAAAGGGTGCGATTAAATTAATGAAAGCATGTTGTGTGTGTGTGTGCGACTCTCCAGTCTGTGCATTATCCACGGCCAACAAAGATTTGAACAGTCAGATTTGATCAGTCTGTTCAGGCAGGAGCCCGTGTGGCTGTGTGGTCACGTGAGTATGAAGCGTAGACTGGAAGGTGCAGAGCATGCAGAGAGGCGCACACAGCAGGCCACGTGGAAAACCGACAGTAACGAGCAGGCTGACATCTGTTATATGGGGATATTTCGGATTCAGCCTCAGAGATATTATCGCGGCAATATTGTCCACAATAATCACTAGGGATGCACTGGAATATTCATGAAATTAATCGGACTAAAAAAGCAAAAAAACAAAAAAACAAAAGCACTTTCGGTGTTCAGCTTAATATGTCAAAAGGCCAAATTCATGTTACCGAACAATTCCGTTGACATGTCGGCAGTGTGGAAGCATTTTAAAGTGTTTGCAGACGCTGTTCTGCTGAATTTTTCTCCCAGCACATCCGCCTCCATCTGTGGCTGACTTCTTAGAAAAGAACCGCTTTGAGTGTTTCTGTCACTCGTCTGTGAGAAGGAGATTGGGCTCGCCGCACCTACATTTGGAGTGCACACGTATTCCAGCCTTTACGGTAAAGTGAAGCGGCCCACAGCGAGCTGAAGAGAAGCTGTGAAGTCTTCATGTTACAACATTATTTATCAAACTGGGTCGGGCTGGACGAATTTAGCGCGAGGAGGAAACACATGTGACAACGCCAGATTTTCAAAATAAGGCGTCCACTATACAGGATGGAAATAAGATTAAGTGGATTATATTCACAGAAAGTCTAAAACATATAGCACGTGTCCATTAGAAGTAAATGGACTCATGTAATTTACCCCCCCCCCCCCCCCACCATAGTCTCTCCACATCCTGTGAGAAACACGGAGGAAAAAGCACATTTTGGCTATTTAATTTATAAAATGATTTAAAAAAAAGGCTAAATAAATGGAAAAAATATGAATGTACTTGTTTGGTATTCGGGAAAGTTTTTCATTATATTCAGTTTCGGCCAAGAATTTTCATTTCGGTGCATCCCTAATAATCGCAATACGACCTTTTCTCCAAATTGTGCATGCCTAGTTTAGTTAATCTGCTGACGAAGAAAGTGCGACACGACTGAAAGCTCCAGAACAGCTACTGCTTTGGACCTGAAGTGAGATTGTTTTGTCAACTACTGTTTCCATGGTGACCTTTCAGTCAACATGGATGAAAAGTCCCTAAAGTGGTGAGAGAAAAAAAGATTGTGGATCTTTATTTATTTCGATCTATCTGCTGATGATCATGTGAAACCTACAGAAAACTACTGTTCAGGTTGTTTTGGTGCAGATTAAAATATATTTGCAGAGTACAGAAAAATGTCTTTGAATGTCTGGTTGCGAAATGAATGACTTTTCGAGCACTTAGTTCCTGATTTAATAAGTTAAAGGATGTCATTTTAGGAAAGGTGCTTGTGTTCACACAACATTTAGTAATTAAAAGCGTCTCTTGTTAAATAATTTTTTTAAAATAGGGGTTTGCAGAGAAACTCATTTATTATATTGCTTGGTTAAAAACGACAGTATGGTTTCAAAACTCAGGTCTTGCAGCTACACTATTATAGAAAATGTTCCAGTAACAACAGGATCATCACTCACCTCTCTGGGGACTTTGAGTGGCTGCGATGTCTGTGGCTTCTGTGGTGACCTGGTGCAAAGTAATGACAACGTCCACACATTAAGAACAAACTGTAGCCACATCAGATCCTGTACAGCAAGGATTTATTGTCCTTCTACATGATTTAGTAAGAATTTAATAATTTCTCAGACCACGAACAGCCCAGTAGTAGTAAATATTACGGTTCTCTCTGTTTAGCATCAATGCATCCAACTAGAACCTGCATTCTTGTTTCTCTACCTGGAGATTTGGAGCGGTGGCGTCTTTCTCTGGACCGGCTGCGATGGCGGCGAGGGCTCTTGCTGCGATGGCGTTCTCTCCGGGGCGATGGGCTGAGTACATTCAACAACAATCAATGAGGATAAGCTACAAGTAGTATTATTGAAAAAGGAGACAAAGGATTTCAGCAAATGCAAACATACCTTCGCCTCTTCGGAGATCTGCTCCTCCTGGAAAAACATAAAGCCACAAAGGAAGTGATTTAGAACTGAATCCTCGTTTTGTAAAATGTCTTATTTAGTCTTCCTCACAACTGACGTACATCACACAAAAATAAATTCTTAATCTCTGTATATGGAAGGATAATAGAGCACAAACCGCCTGGGTGAGCGGCTGCGTCTGTAACGAGGTGAGGGAGATCGGCGAGGTCTGTCGTTGTCTCGATAACTGCGCCTGTGGGGTTCGGGGGTCTGGAGTCTCTCCGGCTGCAGGCGGAAAAACACAAACACTTTCAAACCTGTGGAAGGTGGTAATTATACAACACCAGGTTGTGCAATAAAATGAAAGTTTTGTAGTCGCTTAACGCTACATTCGAATATGTTAACATATAAAATAACTGAAATAAATTTATAGTTATTTATATGCACGTGTTCACCCAGGGAATAAGTCTGCATTTTATTATTATTAAGCTATTCAACCATCCGACAAGCATTTCTGACAGAGTACGCTGGCAGCTGAAGTGCAACACGCTGGGGCCTTGTCCTCCACGTCATCTCGGGAAATGTCATTACCTTTTCTTCTTCCTCGTCTTCTTCATCTTCACTAGTCTCCACCTCATCCAGGTCTTCCTCCAGAGCGCTGATTCGTGGGTCTAACATCTCAGCCTCCTCAAGGACATGTCTCTTCTGTAACACACACACACACACATCAGAGGTGTAGGCACCTGAAACGAGTTGTGAGTGAGTGCACATGATGTAAACGTACCTGGAGGCGGGGCAGAATGATGTCGCACATCCTCTCTGCATGAAGGAGCTCGTCGATGAACTCGTCCACATGCATCAACTCAAACTCTGAAACACAAACAGAAGCAGCCTGAATGAATTCATCGCACATCCAAAACATAATCAGAGTCTCTGAAATTAAATTTTTGGCCTAATAAATAAAGCACAGGGAGGAAATACCTAAAAATAAGCCTTTGTCTGATGAAGAAAGTTGTGCCACAGTAGAATAAGTGAGAAACATGAAGTCCAAATGTGTTTATTAAAACTGGTAGAGCGCTCACTGCACAGTATACTAACCACCATAACCATCTGTTATCACGACAGCAGGTGAGCCGCACGCCGGCTTATTAATGACGCAGCCTCAAACAACTGAAACCAACATCTGCACCCTGTGCGTTCACCGTTGCTTTACCTGGTCCGTGCGTTAACTATCCACCGCGACCTGTAACGTAAGTCAATAGTCTACCAATTTGTTTTTACCGAGTGAAGTGTGTGCGAGAACACATGCACATAAGACGACTGCTGCCCCCCTGCGCTCGGACTCGCCAGGGCACCTGATGACATCGTCCATCCCGATGTTTCACTGTAGACATCGCCCAACCTTACTGCACAGGAGAGAGCATGTTTCATCTTAATTGAACTCTTAAAGCCTTTTCAGTTTTGTAGACCGATCACAGGGTTTCTTTTAAGCCTGGTGGGTCTTCTGTACTTGGACACGGAAGACTGTAAAAACCAAGAGCTGCTAAAACCACATTGTCTTGTTTGCATGTGCAAATTAACAAGATACAACATGTAGATCAGAAAACTTCTTGGATTGGGGATTGTTAAATGTTAAAATTGTCTGTACTGCTTGTGTAACACTAAATGTCACATTTCCCGCATTCACACACTATTGATGGAAACTCACGCCAGGTATCCACTGACTCTGGCTACGGCACGTTACGGCTCCACCGCGGTTTTGATGCGTCCTCAGCCCAGCGCCAGTCCACTGGAAGCGTCTCAGAAGCGTTTCAGCAGCGGAGCGTGCAGCCTGCCCCACATTATTGACTTGTTATTAATTTGTCCGTTTTGTGCTTCTGCTACCTTCTTCACAGCTCTGTGTGACCCCGTTTCATTCTGTCAGCTTCAGGCTGCGTTTCCCACAAGGAGCCTTTCAGAATCAGAGCGTTTTGCCTGATTTTGCTGACATGTTTAGATTTTGTTTGCTTTTTGTGCTTCTACTATGATTAAGTAGGCTATGTAGTTAAATGGCTTCTTTTTGTGTACGTTTTAACCGCGTTTATTGTTATTTTACGATCGGGAGTCTCCACAGGATGTTTTATTTTGAAAATTGACCGGATTCTCTCTGCTGTTCTGTGTCTGACTTCCTGCCCGGTTCGATCTGCTCTGTGCTGCTTGACGCAGCTAGCGGCAAAAATAGACCTGCTTAAGCGACCAGATGAAGTGCAGTGTTCTTCTTGTGGCCTTCAGTAATGACTTAAATTAATCATTCGTGGAGGGATTTTCAAAACTCACCTCCATTTCTGTTCTGACTCTTGATTTTTCTGTAGTCGTTGTACAGCGGCTCCAGGTATTTGTAGCAATCCACTGCTGTGCCAGTTAGTCTCATGTACATCGCGCCAAGTAAACGAACATATCTAATGAAAACAAAGAGCACAAGGAGCCCAGTGTGAGTAAGCAGATTTCATGTTAGCTTGGCATGCACATCATGCTTCCATCATTCATTCTGATGTCCTTGCAGAGCTTTGTAAACAAGCTTTGAATTGAAATCTTTATTGATGACTTAACTGATAAATTGACATGTCAAATAACTATTTGTACTTTTCACTCTTTGTCACCTTTTGGATTTATAACAAATTAATATATTTTTGCATGAATAAAAGGGCATTGAGTGTGCAGGCTTTTTTTTTTCCTCTACGTTTTGGTAGGTTGGTTGACGAAGGGAATACCGAACCAGTGTTTGTTTAATTTCTTCTCTCAACAGACTGAAAACTTACTTGAAGTCCTCGTTTTTTATAAACTCAACAATGATGTCTTTTTCAGGTTGAATCTGCAGCATCTTCAGGGTGAGGCAGAGGAAGGGAGTGGGCTTTATGTTTCCACCATAAACTCCACCAACATACTTCAACTCCATGGCTTTGTCGACAACCAGCTCAGCTGTGGGTGACACAACAAGCACATACTTCATATACAGGCCTTGAGAAACAGAAACGGCCAAACACTAACATTTAACCACAGTCTCACTTGAAAAATAGACAAAGAACAGTTGTGTCAAAATATTTTTAAGTTTTGTATATTATCTGGTTAAAAAGCAAACAACAAACCACAGCTGTATGCAGCAAGCTATATAAGATGAGCCTTTATTGGTCGACAGTAGTTCTAGAAATTCAGGTCTTGCAGCAGCACAAGGACAGAAATAAGAAAGACTAAATTATTGGAATAAAAATAGGAACTATGAAGGAGCAAATACAGTTTAAATTACATGAGTGACAGTGTGTGTGATTAGTAGCAGCTGAGTCAGCAAAGTAGGTCTGAGCCATAAAACAATACTTACATTTATCGCGATCTAATTTTCCTCAATAACAATATAACAAGTGTTGAATAACAGTATGATTTTATTAATTTGATTCACAAAAGAATGAGTACTTTATTTTTCTATTAAGATATTTAATTTGTTGAGGAAAAGATGATTATAGTTTTGAATGTTCTGCCTCAGATTTGTGAAGTGATCCACTGCTTGGCATCAAGTGTTCTGACCATAAGGAAAAGTTTAAAACCACATAATTAACCATCTGCTTTCTTCAACTTTCACTCAGGAGGGGGGAAAAAAAGCCTTTAAACTTAAAAGAAATAATGATTTGACATTTATCATGATAATTATCGATGTCGAATGATATGAAATGTTTTATCGTGACAACAGTTTTGGCCGTATGTCTCAGCGGTACAACATAGTATAGTTTATGTAAAAGAAGTACACTATAAATGTATACAATATGATTAAGTAATGACACCTTCTATTTGTCTGTATTAATATAGAAACAGATAATCACTAAAAATGTGTGTTAAAAGAAAAGAATATATAGAATTAAGTCTCTTATCAGTTAATAAGAATAATGTTTTTTTGGTTACAGCGCCAAAAGGTGAGGCTTGTCTTTGTTTTAACCATCCACCGTCTGGATCAAAACTAAACATGGAGAAGCAGCGTTCAGTTTTTATGCTCCATATATCTGGAACAAATTCCCAGAAAACTGCAGGTCTGCTGAAACTGTCAGTTCTTTTACATCAAGACTTTTCTTTTTATCAATGCATTTAATTAGATCAAATGTAAGGCTGTAGATTAATGTCCCGCACTGCACTGTGACTTTTACTGCCCTGTTTTACCCTGTTTCTATTTCCTACTCAACTCTTTAAAATGTAACACAGTACTTTTATAAGTCACCATTTTCTTTTGTTATCCAGACAATACACCTAAACTATTAGGAGAACTAATCTCACGCTGTTGCAAAGTGATTTTCTTTTGGGTTTCTGTCTTTTTAGTCAACCAAAATAAACAGTTGTGGGAGCTAACTTGGGCAGTGCTAACGTAACTAGCTAGCTTATTCTTGCCATTTCAATAAATATAAGGTAACGTTGGACGAATACTGTTAGAAACACAATGCTAGAGCAGTTCCAGAGTATATTTCTTGGATAAAATACACTAAAGTAACATAAATGGTTCCGGGTTTTTTTTTTGGAAGCTAACATTAGCTCGCACAGCTAGCATGCTAACTCACCGGTCAGACCGAAACACTCCTCCTTCCAGTATTTAGACTCGTAGATTCGAGTCCGGGTGATTTTCTCCACCAGGTACTGAGGGTTGGTCCCGTGTATACTGTTTGCATCTTTAACGGTTCGGTTTGCCATCGGAATGAAGAATTAGTTCCAACAAGCATAAACACACGGCGGCACAGAGTAGCAGCAGCTAGCAGCGAGCCATCAGCGGAAACGGAAAGGGGAAACTTCTTCTTCTTCTTCTTCTTCTTTAATGGCGGATTGCAAACAACTTTTAAGTGCATACCGCCACCTGCTGTACTGGAGTGTGTAACATCATATCACTCAGCTATCAACCTCAATAAGGTGCTCTCTCATATTCTGTTCACCAACCCAGTGTCTTTAAGAAATTTAAATAATGCCTTCCTGGTGATTCTTATACCCTTTTCTTCTCCTTCTGTTCCCAACACCCCCATCAGATTCCAGTCCCGCCCTGCTTTCTGAACCCTGTCTTGAAATATCTGTCTTTCCAACTCAAACAATATGCAGTGCAAAATGACACGTTCAACATTTTCTTTAACCCCACAGTTTTCACATTTTTCACTCTTCCTTTTCCCCAATAAAAACAAGGTGCCATTCAGTCCTGTGTGATCTACTCTCAGTCTTGTCATAATAATTTCCTCCCGCCTGCTCCTTTCGCTATAATTTTTATTACTGACAGACTTTTGTATTTTACAGTAACTCCTTCCTTTCCTGTCTTCCTCCCACCATTTCTGCCATATTTCAGTACCTTTCTTCTTAATGGCTGTTTTTCCTTCTCCTTTTCCTAGCGGTATTTGAACTGTTATTTCCTTTTGTAATGCCTCTTTTGCTAGTGTGTCTGCAATCTCATTTCCATTTACTCCCTCATGAGCTGGCACCCAGCAAAACTGAACATCTATCCCTCCCCGATGTAATCTTAATAAGCTCTGAAACATTTCTATCAGCAGGTCTTCTCTGCCAGATGTCATTGACTGAATGCTTTTAATAACTGCTAAGGAGTCTGTGCATAATATCACCCTATCAGGTCTGACTTCTTCAACGCACTGTAATGCTATAATGACTGCCACTATTTCTGCTGTATATACAGATAGCCTATCTGATAATCGTTTTGAGATATTTATTTTGAATTCTGGTATATTTATTCCAATTCCCACACATTCCTTTTTGTTTTTGGATCCATCTGTATAGATTTTTAGATAATTATGGAAACTGTTTCTCAGATAGCTGCTAGTCCGTATTCCCACTTCCTCTATTCCCCATCCTCTTTTCTTTTCCAGTATACTAAAATCTGTTTTTACGTCTGGATAGAGCCACGGTGGAATGTTACTGACTGGACTGGCTGTGGTGAAATCTAATGCTTCCATTCTGTATTCCCTGACTCTCTTTTCCCCCGTCCATCCAAACCCATGCCCCCGAAACTTGAAATATTCCCAACAATCCTTTGTTATCTCCTTTGTAGGGTGGAAAGGGGAAACATTTCCGGTTCTTGTTCTTCTGGTGTTTTTTTTTTTAATTACAAGAATTATATATATATATGTTACAGTTCACATTTTCATAAGGAAGGAAAAACAAAAACAGTGAAAAAAATAAAAAAACAATTATAAACAACAAAAATAAAGTATACGGTCAGAGTATCAAACAATAAATATCAGTTAAATTAATTATAAGGTTAAATTAGATAAATGTTGATGCTGATTTACCCTTTAATCCATAAATACAGACTATATCATTTTTTAAGTCAAATTTAAAAACATTGAAAAGAGGTTTGTTCTTCATAAATTTTGATTTATGAATAAAGAATTTTCCAAGCAAAATTAATAGATTGACTATGTATTGTACAGAGGAGTTTGAATCAGAAAAACAAAAGAAAATGTCAAAATTGGATAAGTGTACATTTGAGCCAAAGCGTCCATTAACGAAGCATTGCATATCATTCCACAGAGAAGAGCTATGTGAACAGCAATAGAATAAATGGTCCAACGTTTCTGTTTCCAGAGAGCAGAAGGAGCATTTTTCATCTACAGTAGGGATAAATTTTGAGATTATCTCGTTACAGGAGTAACAATGGTGAAGAATTTTAAATTATATTTCTTTGTTTGTAATTAAAAATTTATGTGGGTTACTCCATGCTCTATTCCAATTAATATTTTTATACAGGGGGGTCCATTTGTACCTGCATGCTGAGATAGATTTTGCACATAAAAGGTTCTTAATTACTTTGTTGTTGATTTTTCTGTCTAGAAAAGATAGACCATTTATTGAAACACTGCTGGAGAAAAATACATTAATTTAATCTTTCTCATCTCTAAGTAGGGTGATGATCCCATGGGGTATAGCTCTGGTTACAACGTCAAATTCTTTTCTTGGAGGATGGAAGTTAAATTTATGAGTGAAGTCGTCATATGTTAAAATTTGATTTGAGTTATTTAACAGTTGGCCTACCAGTACAATGTCATGTTTAAACCAGTTTTGTATAAAGAGAGTCTTGTTTCTATGTATGATCTTCCTGTTGTTCCAGATAAAACATTAGTGAGGGGAGAAATTGTGTTTGTACAAAAGTGACCAACAAGTTAGAGGCTGTTTATGGAAGTTTGACATTTTGATTGGCAGTCTGTTGATGGAGTATGGGCACTGAAACAAGCGGCAGACCAAGGCTGCGGTCGAAAAATCTAAATAAAATCTCCTTTCCTAACCTCCTTTCCTTGACCTCGATGGAAAAACGTCATGAGGTCAAGGAAAGATGTGAAGGTCAGGACTTAGGAAAAGAGGACCGCGGGGCTCAGAGAACCCGACTGCTCTTTTATAAGCGACGTTACTGACGTGACCTGCTGTGATAAAACTACAATATTCCGAAGATGGACTACAAAAAGCGCATCTTTGACTCTGCGCCCCGTGGTGTTGTAATGCAGGCCGTCTAAAGGTGGACACCACGGTGGAATATATTACCAATGAATGACCAAGATAGCATAAAGGCAGACCAAATAATGGACAAGTTGTGACATTGAGAATGCTCACACTCACCCTCCTGCCCACCCACAGGCCTATTTATGTATGTAAATACAGTGTTTCCCACAGAATGGCAGCGTAACTGTGCCGAGAGGAGATGCTGAGAGAATATATGTCAAAATATAAGTCAAATTAATTTGCTGAAGGCTGCAGTACATAACGTGAGGCTAAACGCTGCAACATCCTCACTTTGATCACGTTACAAGACCAGTAACAGCTCGCATGGGTCTCAGTTATTGTTGACAGTTTAAGATAAATGCATATTAGCAAGTTATGGCATCAGAGAGAAAAGGCTTAATAGCCAATGATAACTTACATGGTGATCAACCTCCTTTATCCGTCATGGTTGGTGATTTATTTATCTTTTACTGCAGAAAACACTTAATGGCTTATTTCAACAACCCGAAACATAAAACGGTGTTGAAACAGTATTAGATTACAAAAAAGCCAAAAGAAAACAAACTAAAAGAAAGAAGGTAATTGTGAGTCTTATTAAAGTATCATAATGTTTGTCTGTATTGCAGGATCTTGCTAAATATGGTTGATGGATTTTATCGTTTGAGTTTGAGAACGTGCGCCACTTTAAATGTTGCCGCCGCAAGGAATTGTGGGACGGAATTCTCTCCTTTTCCTTTCATAAAGGATGGTCCGGTGTACCCTATGCTAAAGGAGATAAGAAAGGAAGCATTGAGGCACCTTTCCTCAGCTTTTAGAGAATTCAAACAGCTCTTATCATGGCTGCCACTGAAATACTTCCGGTTCACTTCACTCAGTTTAGGAGCCTTCCCAAGCAAAAAAGACTTTTCGAACGCAGCCTAACGGCCTTTCTGCTTGCCACTCCTTCTCCCTACATACTTCCACTCCGTTTGCGCGTTCATGCAGAGGGTCCGCCACATTGAGTGCCATCCAAAACCAATAAGGGCGGAGTGGTAGTGGGTTGTTAAACCCTCAAATGCCAAGTCAGCACCGATGCTGGCTTGTTGAAGGTGTGTAACACCCTTTGCTGCACGATGGGAGACCCTTTTTTAAATTAAATTATAAATTAATAAAGCGTGGTGGAGTGTGGTCCTGCTGTTTGAGGCTTTCTGGAGTCATTGCGGAGCCCCGAGAGGCCCAGTCGCAAGGCCTCACCGAGTGTTGGGTTTAGGCATTGTTGTAACCCCAGAGGTTGGGGTTAGTGAAAACCCACTGGGAAGGCTGTAGGAAGCAGGCAGCAGACCGAGGCAGACGGGAACAGGGATGATAAGCAGGACTAGACATTGGAGGATCAGAATCAGAAAGAGCTTTATTGCCAAGTAGTATTTTACAGGTACGAGGAATTTGCCTTGGCATAAAGTGGTGCTTACAGTACACGTGAACATAAAGAGAAATAGAAATAAATAAAAAGTGAAGAGATGAAAATTGTACAAAAATTACAAGAAGGCTATAACACTAATGGAAAAAGAGAGTGCAAAATGGACGAGGTAATTAAGAAGAATGTGCAAACATTGACAATATGAGCATAGTTATATAAGAAGAATAAAAGAATAGAGAATAATACAACCACATGCAGAGAAAGAACAAGGTGGCAGATATTTCCATGTGCATTACTCTGGGTTTGTGTTGTGCAGACGTATTGCAGCGGAAGAGGATGTTGTGTAGATAAATATATAAATTGACAAAATATAGAACAACAAGGATTAACAATTGACAAGAAATATGAGCAACATGCCAGGTTTGTGCATGACATGAAACAAATAATATTTACACGTGCAGAGAGGAGGATGTGATGATGCACCATCCTTGTCTTTGGCAGGTTGAACTTTTTTCAGCTGTCGCAGGAAGTAGATCCTCTGCTGGGCCTTGTTGGTGAGGGAGGAGATGTTGAGTTCCCACTTGAGGTCCTGGGAGATGATGGTGCCCAGGAAGTGGAATGAGTGCGGCGAGATGCATTGTTGAATAACTTTTTAACAGGAAGGCGGTAGAGGCAGGGGAGGGGCGGCATTGGGCTCGGGGTGGAATTCCCTTTAGAGACAGCTTTCAGACCCTGTCCCGCCCGCAGCGAATGTGCTGCATTGCGGACGGAAAATTCTAAGTGTGGAAAGTCTGAGTTTTTGGGGAATAGCTTTTGACAGGAAGGCGCTAGTGCGAAACGCTTTTCAGTGTTGGACTTGGGGTGGAATTTTCAGTGAGACTGAGGCCTTTCGCTAGGTTTTAGCGCCGGAGGCCAAAAAGTAGAAAATTAGCGTTAACAGTAGGTTAGAGGATGGAAACCACCTCCAGATGGGCCTTTTTGGAGTAACTCTTGACAGGAAGGCTGTAGAGCTGTGGGGGGATTTACGGTCGACCTGATGGAGTGAAGTCAAATTTTCAAAGGTAAAGCTGATGGGCGGGCCCCCTGGGGCGGTGGTAGGACTGGTTACTGACTGGGAGGCCTGGGAGAGGAAGCCTGGCTCTTCTGAAGTGGAGGTGGACTTGAACCTGGGACCTTCTGGCTGCAATGGAAGGCAGTACTTCCACCAGACCATTCCTAATTGACCACAACCACTTGGGGTACCTTGGTCACAGAGACCTTGGTCACATTGGTCCCCGAGTGGTTGGTGTGAAAACCCACTGGGAAGGCTATAGGAAGCAGGCAGCAGACACAGGCAGACAGGAATGGGGATGAGGAGAAGGGGAAGACATTGGAGATTGACATGCATTGGGGAATAACTTTTGACAGGAAGGCGCTGGAGCGAAACGGTTTGTGACGTTGGACTCGGGGTGGAATTTGCAGCGGGACTGTTTTGCTTTGCAGCTTTGGGTCTTCACTGCAGTCCCCTGCAGTCCATTGCAAAAGATTCCTATGCCTAATGTACAATGGATTTATATTACGTAGCTTCTGACTTTCAAAGGAGACCAGAATTATGCAGCTAGGCCTAATGGTTGAGGAGATATTACTGATTTATTTGGGGAAAAGGGACTGGAAAAGGATTTTTAGTATAATGTTTTGAATATACTACCTCAGATTTGTGAAGTGTCTACTGTTTGGCATCAAGTGTTTGTTCTGATACAATAGTTTAAAACCACAATTACCATCTGCATTTGAAAGAAATAGTGATTTGACATTTATCGATATCGAATGATATGAGATTTTTTATCGTGATAGCATTTTTGGCCGTATTGCCAAGTTCTAGTGTTGAATAAAGATGCTTACGTTGATTTTAGCTCGTAGTGTTTGTATGTGGGTGTTTTTATGGGAAGGTGGTTCTTTAAGATTAATTTGAGAAGTACCTATGACCTTGTTCCACATTTTCTTGTTCTTTTCTCTCTATATTTGCTTCCCCTTGGATCAATCTTAAAAAGACATAACATCAGCTTCCATTTCTATGCAGATGATTTGCAAATCTATCTCCCCATCAAAAGAAAAGGTGGTAGTTCTTTAGGTAAGTTTGAGAAATTAGCCAGAAACTGCTGGATTGTGAAAGTATCCAACAGAGAAACTCCCACCCCCTCCCTTCTGAGCTAAACAACTCTGTGTTAAACGGCGGCTTGGTTGTGAAGGGAACAAGTAAAATACCAACATGGTCTTGGTTAATAAAGACAGTGTGGTCACAAGTTGATCTGCTGTCTGCCATTTTAAAGAGTCATGGCTGGCTGTTTGCTCTTGAAGTTGTTTCATTCTACGCCGCCAGAGGGTGAAGAGGTGATGATGGTGTAGGCTAGTGGAATATTGATCTGACTTTTATTTATTTTTCCACATTGATCTGAGTTCGAATCCCGTGTTGAAAATACTTTTTTTTTTATTCGTTTTAAAAGGTTGAATCGTTTTTCTACATGACACGTGTTTACAGACACAGACTCCAAAGACAAATCAGAAAGGTATGTTTTCTCTTTTTAATGAACAACTACAGAAAGAGGCATTCGCAGGGACAGCTACGTATTCTCTTCCTGTTTTCAACAGCTGTCGTATCTACGACAACCACAGACGCATTCGGCTGAAGGTCACCAATTAACAGGGCCACTCGTTAATCCGAAATACCGGGGTCGAGGCGAAGCAGATGGGGAGGGCTGCCAGGGTTCGAGGAAGAAGAGGCAGGACGGCTCATCTGTGTCCTGTTAGAGAACAACAAAGCCCTGTTCAATAAAAATATCTGATCATGTTGAGGAATGTTCTTTCCAATAACACCAATCTTTCCAATTTGGGGTTCTAATGACTATATATTCCTTTACAGGCCAGAATCTGAGGACGGTGGACAACATCCAGACTACTGTGTTTCCATGCACCACACATGGCTGATCTTCCAGACCCAGGACAGTGTAACAGACGGTTCAGAGCACCTAACTTTTATGCATTGGTGTTTAAAGACAGTTTCAACAAATATGACAAAAAGTGTTTTAGAAGCAACTTGCCTACCCTGTCTTTAACAAGATTGGTTGACTGTTTTTGGCCCTAAATTTTTTAAACTTCAACGAGAGTAAAACCGAGGTCATGATTTTTAGACCCAGTGGCGCCTCTGATGTCTCATAAATAGACCTGGACACCTTATGTTAAGTCGGTTATAACAAACCTGTGATTTTAAAATGGAGAAGCAGATCAACTCTGTTGTGAAAACAAGTTTCTTTCAACTTAGGCTTCTTTCTAAGTTTAAGCCCTTTTTGTCCTTCACAGACTTTGTGAAGGTTATACATGCTTTTATCACAACACGCATTGATTATTGTAATGCTCTGTCTGTAGGTGTTAGCCAGGCCTCCCTCTCTCGTCTACAACTGGTTCAAAATGCTGCCGCTCGTCTCCTTACGGGAACTCGTAAGCGTGATCACATCACCCCAGTTCTTGCCTCTCTTCACTGGCTCCCTGTTAATTTTAGGATTGATTTTGAGATTCTATTGTTTGTTTTTTTGTTTTTGTTTGTTTTTGCATTGATGTGATATGTACTGTGAGCTCTTACTAGTATGTATTGTCAGTTGTAGATCTGTAGTTGATGCTATGTTGATGCTTGTATGTTGTTCTTAAATGTAAGTTGCTTTGGATAAAAGTGTCTGCCAAATGAGTAAATGTAATTGTAAATGTAAATGTTTTTAAAGCCCATCATGGCCTAGCTCCAGCCTATATCACTGATCTATTGAAGCCGGATGCTCCTCCAAGTCTTTAAGTCACTAAGGTCCGTGAACCAGTCTCTTCTTGTTGTCCCTACAATACGTCTCAAGAGCAGAGAGGATCTAGCTTTCTCAGTCGCAGCCCCGAGACTGTGGAATGAATTGCCTCTTTCTGTCAGACTGGCCCCCCAGCCTTTCAGTTTTTAAATCACGACTTAAAACACATTTTTATTTCTTGGCTTTTATTCTGGCATGAGAGCTGCTGTATGCTGTATTTGTCTGGAGCTGTATTTTGTCTATTTATTGTTTCATGTAAATGTACAGCACTTTGGTCAACCTGGTTGTTTTAAATGTGCTTAGAAATAAAGTTTGATTGGTTGATTTTATTGTGTGTCATGTAATGTGGGGAACTGGTCTTGGTCTTGACTCGGTCTCGCCACTCCCTCGGTCTTGGTCTTGACTCGGTCTCAGCCCCTAAAAGTTTTGGTCTTGTCTCGGTCTCGATAAACTCTTGACTTGGTCTCAGTTTGGGCGGTCTTGACTACAACACTACCCATTGGTTTTCGTGGGGATTCAGTAGGTCTCTCAATGCACGATAAAGCATCTGTTTGCTTTTTATATCGGTGACATTCTATACGTAGCCTGCATGTTTAACAGTGTGTTGTTGTTTCCTGGCTCTGCAGGCTCTGCAGAGACCGGCATCCAGACACCCCAATACTTTTAAATCAATGTCTCTTTTCAGTGCCGTTAAAGCTGCCTTGTCTGCTATCTCATTCCCCTCCAACATCAGAACCCTCAGATCCACAACAAGCTCTGGCCGGTTTCGTGTTGTAGAATAAAAAAAAGCAAAACCTGACTTCCCATCTGTGCAAATTTTAAATCTCTATACTTTATTATCTCTATTATATTTCTATATCTTTTTATTTATATGTACTGTTAAGCACCAATATATACTGGGGAAGAAAATGTACCTCTCAATAAACCAGATTCTTTTGTGATTCCATAATTTAAAATCCTGGTGTTACGCTTCCGGTAAAGTAGGTGGCGCCATGCACCTTTGGAGCCCGCCATTAACACCAAAGACGAAGAAGAACCGGAAACTACGCACTTTTCGCGCGAAATGTCGTCTGCGGTGGAGTCTTTCTGCAGTTGTCCTGTTTTTCCACCCCGGGTTTGAATTATAAGCAGATAAAGGGCTTCTTTTGTGGATCAGACTTTAAGGTTTTTATATTGATTATTGATTAATCTGAGCTCGCGCAGCAGAGAGCGAAGAAACGGGATGAAATATTTCACCAGACTGAGAGTCAGGAGGGTTTACAGGTGGCTCGGAGAGCCGCGGAGCTTCAATAGGAAGTTAAAGACTTATGAATATCGGTGAGTGTCTATGTCTTTGGAGAAGGACAACTATTTCCAATATGCACATATTAATGATCTGTGTCTGTATTTAAGATCGTTTATTCCCTGAAATCTGAAGTCAGGGCCTAAAACTTTACTGGTGATCTCAATAACCAGGATTTTCATTCATAATTATTGTCATTTTTATTCTTCTTTTATTTATCATATATCGTCTTACTCAGTGTTACATTGCCTTCAAGTAGTGGGAGAAGTAATCAGATTGTTTACTTTAATACCACAGTGTAGAAATATTCAAGTCATGCATTCAAAGTACAAAAGTATTAACATTAAAAAATGTAAAATAAAATAAAAAGTAACGTTACTTACTATGCAGTAGAGCTGGAACAATTAGCTCCATTCATTGATTTGTGGCAACTATTTTCATAATTGGTTAATTGTTTTGAGTCATTTTTAAGGTCCAAATTCTCTGATTCCAGCTTCTTAAAAGTGAATATATTCTTGTTTCTTTCCTCCTCTATGACAGTTAACTAAATATATTTGCGTTTTGAACAAACAGGACATTAGAGGACCTCACATTGAGCTTTGAGAAACGCTTATCAACCATTTTTCACCATTTTATGGCATTTTAAGGACGAGTAACTAGTTATTCAATTTATCACATAAATTATTTATATTACTTTTTTTTTCAACCCAGTTGAAAGCGGGTTTTTAAGTGATGAATATATCGATCATGTCTGTAAATAAAATGCCGACCTCACGTTCAGCAGGGATACTGAAGGGTCACATAACTTATCCTAAATAAACTGTCACAATAAAAAAGAAAAGTAATTAAATGCACGTATTATCTAGTGTGAATATATAAATAAGACTAAACACAGACGAGTTTAAACTGGTTGGTATTTGAGATGCTGGGCTTTACAAACGACCTTTACTTTGTTGATCGCAGTAGTTTTATTGTGAAATTCCAGCTTTTGCTTCCATAATCAAAGTCGGCGCTTGTTATTTATCTCTTTGTGTTTCAGCTCTTTGGCCATCAGTGTGGAGGGTCTCCCGAGGACCACGGTCATTAACACGGGCCAACACATCCTCATCGAGGGAGAAGATGAAGACAACCCGTACGTGGCCAAAGTCATCCGGCTGTTCGGAGACGGTGAGTCACAATCAGTTTGTCTCAGGTGAACAGAGACTCGCTCCGACAGACGCTACACTTGACTTGGACTCAAAGACTTGCCGCTGAATGTTTCCTCTCTCGTTGCGTTTCAGAGAGCGGGAAGCAGAAGAAGGCCGTGGTTCAGTGGTTTGCTCGCGTGTCTGAAGTGCCTTTGGGCAAACTGAAGCTGCTGGGCAGAGAGCCGCACCCGCAGGAGATCTTCTACTATGAGGGCCGCAGCTGCGACGACGAGGTCGACGCCGAGTCCATCCTCAGACCTGTGCAGGTGAAGGACGCAGGGACGCTTGCTTTTATCTTAATGACACGCTGCGGAACTAAAATGACGGCTGATGATAAGCGACAGTAAGTGATGTCGCTTGAGTCGGCACCCCCATACCATCACGGACCCTGGCGTTTACACTGTGCACTTAACACAAGCAGGATGGTCCCTCTCCTCTTTAACCCGGAGGTTCCAGTGTCTCTGATATCCAAACAGAATTTAAAAGTTTGAGCACAGGACAGTTTTCTACTTCGCCTCAGTCCATCTAAAATGAGCTCAGCACCACAGAAGGCGGCGGCGTTTCTGGATCTGGTTTATAGACCGTTTTCCTAAAGTCTCAGTTTCAACATTTGATAAGTTGCCTTTGTGTTATTTTCAATTAAATATTTGGTTTCACTGTTAAGCTGGTCATCACATTTACTTTCTATTTACATTTTACACAGCATGCCAGCTTTATGGAGACGGGGTTGTACCTCCTGTAAAAAGTTTGACAGGTTGACGAGTCTCTACTATGGTGACCTGTCAGGCGTAGCAATGCATATCCCTGCCCAGCTCCACCGTCTTGTCCAAATAGATGGCGACGGCCAAAATGCCTAACTCAAGGTTTCAGTACAGCAGTCCACAAACCAGTGGGAGACGTCACAGAGGCCACGCCCACTTCTTTTATACGGTCTGTGGTTTTGATAAAGAAGAATGAGTGGAATATAAAAAGACGGTATCTGTGGTTCTGCTGCATCAATCATGAGTCTAACAGTGTTATGGGAGTCCAACGCTAAACCAGGGGCGGACTCTTCAGGTCTGTGTGTACGGGTTGCTCTTTGCATGAGTATTTAGAGAAAGATTTATTTTTATGTAATTCTTTCCTGATTTTATTCACCGCAGATGTCTCCAAACATAAACGCATAAAACCAAATGTTTTTGCATGGTCAGACACTAATAGAAGAAGTAAGAGGGGAAATGCTTTTCTGATTTAGGTGGACTGACCTTTTAACTTCCTGTCCTGTCACCTCAAGGTGAAGCACCTGGATGGAGCAGCTCCGTTCCCGGACTCTGGCGATAAAGACGCTCTGTACGTGAAGCTTTCCTGGGACTCCAAGACCTTCAAAGTGGTGGACTCTGCCCCGGCTTCCTCCCCTCCTCCCTGTCCCAAAACCTCCCTCCCACCTTCTCCACCCTGCTCCCCTCCTGCAGCGGCACCAGCGTCTCGAGGCCCCTCTCGACGCGCCCTGCCGACTCCGGACCTCGCCGTCATGCGCAGGGCCGCGACTGGTGAAGTGAGACATAGCAGGGCCACCGTGAGCGCCGGGAAGGCCGGCCCTGCGGAAGCTGAGTCTCTGCACTCCGCCACCAAACTCTCGGCCTCAAAATGCCTGAGCGCCAGGAGGAGGAACAGCTCGGCCAGGACGCCCGGCGTCCGCAAGAAGCTGGAGCTCAGCAGTGAGTCTTTCCTCAAACGTCATAAAGCACCTTTTCCGCTGCTTGTAGTAGGGTTAGATTTTAGAAAATATAAAAACAGAAAGCTGGAACCAGACAATTGATCAATTCATTGACTAATTCAATTCTCTCTCCTTTTGATATACAAATTCCAAGTTATTAGAATTAATAATAATGAAAGGAGAGCTATGAATTTAGCTGAAGGTTTGGTCACCACTAATCATTCAGTTCTCTCAGCTGGTTGAAGTCTGGAGGTCGTGTTTCTGAATGTGACTGAAGTGTTTTCCCTGCTGCTCCCTTCAGGTCCGGAGAAGAAGTCGATGATCGGTGAGGACGTCCAGCTGCAGGATGAGGAGCTGGAGTCGGAAGTGGAGTTGGCTGACAGGCTATCGTCCTCTCCTCCCCTGGTCCTGTCCCACCGGCTCACCCCACTCAGGAAGGCCCACAGACCCCCCGTCGCTCGGGACGCGTTCCCCCTGAAGCCCATCTTCAACAAACGGTCTGCCCCTGAGGCGGACAGTCCTCCGTCGTCTGCCGGAGACGACTCCACCAGGTCAGAGTCGACTCTCACACACAGTCCCGCCGCTCACTGTGAAGTTTACGGGTGTTCCCATCTGAGGGTGTGGATATTTCTGGTTGTGTGTTTCTCCTACCTCTGGGCCATTTCACCCAAAAATGTATTTTCCTGCAAAATGCTGCAAAACTGAAACATGAATGAAAAGTCATATTTTTAACCGCAATGTCTCTAGGGATGATAATGTCTCTCTGCCCGTCTGCTGCACCACAGGTTCTCCTGTAGCGACCCCGTGAGGTTTGAATTAAAACAACAGCCGTTGCACAGATTATAATGAAATGTGGTTCAGATTAGAGAGCTGCATTGGGATCCCGCGGGACCCATCACAAATCACGCGGGAGCGGGCGATTGAAAAATGTACTGCGGGTCCCGCAGTAGCGCTGATGAAATGACTGAAGATGGAGTCAACAAACGAAGTAGAAAAGAAGATTAAAGTGAGTGCACGCGGCTGCTCCAGTGAACGTACGACTTGGAGTACGAGAGGCGGGATACGCTGACGAGAAGACTAAACCCCGTGGCGTTTCTCAAGGTGTCGGGGAGTGAGGTTTACTCACTGCACAGCCTCACCGGCGTCCATCACACGCGCTTATATAATACAAGACAAAATGAGTGCACTGATTTATGTCGGTTATTGTGAATGTTGAGCGTAGCCCAAACATTTGTGTCTTTACTCTGCAATGTTTGCAGGGGGTGGGAGTGGATACACAGGAGCGGGCGGTAATGGTCACAAAATCAAGAAAACAGTCCCGCGCAGGTCTCATGTTCCCCTCAGGATGAACTGTAAAACCTCTGGTGACTTTTCATCTAGCGCCATCATCAGGTCAACATGTTAATATGTGCGTTTGACTTCATGCGGCGCTGTGCAGTGCTGACTTAACGTGATGCATGCTGGACAAACAAAAATGGCATGCTGGTTAGAAATTGTGTCCGGCTGCACAAAGTTGGAACCACGTTTTGCCTGGTCTGGCGGCGTTTTTCTTTGCAAATACCGCGAGATCAGTCACTGCTCACAGTAAGCTCACGAAGGTAGAATGTGTCCGACTTGAAGGCGCCGTCTTTATTGCCCGCCCCTGCAGTCGCCTGCAGCTCACGTTAGACTATCAAGTCGGCGAGAGTCAGCCGCAGTCATCTCATTTTGTTTTTGCAGCGAGGAGTTTGTTGATTTGGATTAACGCTAGGAGATCAAGTCTTAGTTAGCAGTTCCTCTATGTACACAACAAACTCCTCTCCCTCATTTCTTCCGCCGTCTTCCTGCAACAACTCTCCTCTCACGAGATTTCAGAGCGAGAGTTGTCCTTGAGCGAGACCTCAGTTTCCTGTTGAAAACAAAAGGGGTCACCGGGAGTCCCTCGAAGGGATCCCTTCTGTGAGGCTGGCAGACACCTGGTACGACAGTCTGAGAAAATAGGGCCCAGGTTTAAAAATACTGTCACGCCGAACCTTATTTTAACGTGGATAAATAAAACTGTATAAAACTACAGACTCACTGGGGGCTCTTCCAGGGAGCTGTTGGATAAAAGTCCTCAGCAGGGTGACGTGATGGAGACAGGGTTACCGACCGGCTCGGTTAGGACACCCAGAAGAAGAAACGCCACGCCGAGGAGAAAGTCAGAGAGTCAGAAGTGAGTCGGACGCTGCAGGCCTGGTGGTTGGAATAACTGTTATGAATGTCTATGAGCACAACAGAGAGGTGTGAGAGAGTTACAGAGATGAAGATCTGGTGCACAGTAGTTCACGTGGGCATGTGGTGGTTCTTATGTCCGTTGATGTGTCTGAGTTTGAGTTCATTGTCCTCTGAATAAACACAGTGACGTAATTCCCAAAATTCAATGTGTAATCCAACAGAGCTACCACTCCTTCTCGGAAAAAAGAACCGAAAACCCTGAGGGAACCGGCCCTGGGAGTACTGTGAGTACATGCATGTGTATATTTCCATGATGTTATGAGGACCAGGAGCTCGCAGGAACTTAGATTTGGGGTGGGAGCAGCAGTGAATACGCTTCATGTTCTTTCTGTGAGTCAGAACTTAACACACTGACGCATTTTTTGTTAACATTCAGTGTGACTAACACTTTGCAAGGATGCCATTATCTGTATGTCTGTAAATAAAAATCCATAAATCTGCTTAGAAATCATCAACAGGAGCAGCTAACAGCTAATCCGGCTACTTTTAATGTGGACAATTTGGCAAAATGGAAACAAAAATGCAGTGTACTACAGAAATGGGGCTCACTCTGTAGCCCACAGTTCACTGCCTGACTCCATGGCACCATAAAACTTCCTGCTTCCTGAACTGTAGCTGTTGAGCTGCAAAAATAATAGATTAGTTGTTAAATTAACTATTAAATTAATCACCAATTATTAACAGATAATCGATTATTCGTTATGATTCAATTTGTAAGAAAACATTTCCAAGTTCTCTGATTACAGCTTCTCAAACGTGAATATTTTTTTTCTTTTACCATTTACTGCCTTTTTAAAGACCAAACAACTACTTGATTAATCGTGAAAATGATTGACAGAGTAATCGATAATGAAAATAATCATTATTTGCAGCCATATTTGAATAATAATGCTAGTAGTAGACACAATTAATTAACTACTTTTTTTTGCTCTAGCAGATATAAGCTGTTTTTCCTTTACCAGCTCAACTCGCCTCGGCTTGACTGTCCTCCATTTCCCATTGCAGATAGTACCCAGAGATAGTACCCCTCAATGTAGTAGTACCCCTCGTCATAGCAACGCCACACACAACTGCCACGACGTAATGTTCAGTGCGACACACACACACACCAGTGATCCACACAGCTCTTAAAATACATACAGTCTCCGGTTAAAACGTTTCAACCTTCCTCAGAATGTAAAGACAGATAAGCGGTATGAAAACCTTCCAGCTGTGTTTTCCTCTGCCGTCGTTGCTGCAGCGGTCTGTGTGACGGCGGGAGCAGAGGGCTCTGTGAGCGGGCGGCTGGCCGGCCACGCTAGCTCCTCGCGCGGGTTGGTGCAGGCTTCCCAACTCCGAAAACATTCAAGCACATTTTTGTTCCGCCATCACGTCTCGTATCAATATTCTAAATCTACACAGCTGATTTCTCACCTCAAAACTTCTCAGAAGTGGATTTAGTGATGAAATAACGCGCACGCAATGATGAACGCAGTGCATAGTGACAATTCTCTCTGACCAGTAAGCTGTCTGCTGTGTTTCACGTCACATTTTAGTATCTCTCAGCTCGATTGGAACCTCAACAGAGGTGAAAAAAGTACCTGGTAGCGGGTACAGGTTCAACTTTTCCACAATGGAAAACCAAACAAAAGTGAGTTGAGTCGAGCTCGTACCGTGCACCTCGAAGGTGGGTTAAAATCAAGGGCAGCTGTTCAGATCTGAAGAAGCCTCTTGGATGAGAGATGAAATCTGGGTCCAGTTGCTTTTGCACCTTGGAGAACTATGACCTGAATGACCGAGAAACCTCAGACTTCTAACAGACACACAGACAAAACTGAATGAATTCTCTCTGCGTAAGGTGGTTAAAAAACCCTCGATTAATTACCACTGAGCCTTATGGCTGCACCACATACTCACAGGCAGACGTGCCTTTATTTCCAACACAAGAACAGGGCTGATACCTGACACTGAGAAATCTATCTGTACTGTTAAAATGTGTCAGATTGCACCTTTTTTAATGCTGTTGATGTGTGATGTGGACAGCGCTGAAGAGGAACATGAGAATTCTCCGATGCTGCCGGTCACCACCACACCGAGGAGCTCTAAGAGGAAGTCGGCCCAGCTGGTGTCGTCTCGCATCAGAAAACAGCTGTGAGTGCAGTCGTCATGACTTTTTTTTTAATCCACTGACTGATCGGCTCATTGTTTCAGCACTTGATGTGAATGAATTCCTGTGGAAAACCTCAGAGTACTGAGCTTCACTGTCTGTTTGATCAGGAATCTTCTGGACAACCAGCTGGACCTGAACTCGGACGGCGAAGACGAGGACGAGTTTGTTCCCTCCAAGAAGGAGCTGCGGAGCAGCAGCGAGGACGATGATGATGGGGAAGAGGAGGCGGGGCTGGATAGTGACGAAGAAGTGGTGTCGAAAAAGGGCAGACATGCAGCTGCAGGGTCTCGTACTCCTCGTTCAAAGCAGAGAACTCGCTCCTCGACCAGAACGCCACGAAAAACTCCCAACAGAAAGGTCGGACTGCTGGAAAATCTGAAAGAATCTGGTCTCCCTCTTTCAGCTTCCGTCTTTTGACTGTTTCCTGTTTCAGCAGGTCACACCCGGCACGCCACGGACTCCTCATCGCGCCACTCCCAGCATCCCCAGCAGGTCGCTACCAGCGCGACAGCCGGCTAATGTTCTGGAGGAGGCCAGAACGAGGTGAGACGCACCAATCACTGACCCTGATGATACTAGAGAGGCAACCACAGTCGAAGAAAATCCTGATCTCTGATTGGCTGACAGGTGTCTATCTACACCTGTACTCACTGATTTCACGAGAAAAATGGCCGTTGGAGGTCCCAGAGTCCAAACGTCTTGTTGTGTAGCGGTCTAAAGAAAAGCTAAAGATATTCTGCTTCCAAAGATATAAAACAGAGGAAAGCAGCAGAAATTCACAAATGAGAAACTAAAACCAGTGAATGTTTGTAGTGTTTTGCTTGATAAGTTACTCAATGATTTAGATTTTAGCTGACTGTCAAAGTAGACGATTAATATTCTGTTTTATAGAAGAATAATAAAGAGTATTAGAGTAATTGTCAGTGCTAGTTTCAGTACAGTGTGATAGGAAAGGGGATTTAAAATGTGCATTTTATGTTCAATAATTATTTAAGTTTTGTTCCCTAAACTGCATGAATTATTGTCATAAATGATAATGACATTTATTTAGGTGATTGCATGAAGCAGGTGACCTTTTCTCCAGGAAACAGGAGCAGAAAAGTGTTATTTAGAGTGAACTGAACATTTTGGTGTCTTCAGGCTGCACGTGTCCGCCGTGCCGGAGTCTCTGCCCTGCAGAGAGCAGGAATTCCAGGACATCTACAGCTTCGTGGAGAGCAAGATCATAGATGGCACGGGAGGGTAAGTTCCAGATCACTGCGGCGGCGGCAAATGAGAACACTGATTGCGGTTAAAGAATCAGAGAAATGTTCAAATGGTTTCTTTCAAGTTGTTGCCAGCTCGGCCTGGTAGGTGGAGCCCGGGTGTGGATTGACAGACATAAAAGGAAACATGCTGTGCAGAATATAAGAAGAACTAAAGAGGTTACACATTTATATTTATTATATATTTATAAGCTTACTAGTTAGAAATGGGTGATTCTGTACAGGACAAAGCAGAAATGAACAGTTGGTCCAATAGGTGTCGCTGTTTCCCAACAGATCTGACTGAAAACAGAAGCCCAAGCTTTCGCAGGCAGCCACTGTGGCAGGTTTCTGTCACTTTGGTCTGCCAATTTTGAAATGTGTGCGCTGAAAGAAGAACTAACATTTTAATCTAAATAATGCCATTCAGTGTTACACAAGCTTATTTACACAAATACATTACATGCCCCATGTCTTTCAGTGCATAACTATCTCTCCAGGTATTTCAAAGGTGCTGACAGACGACAAGAAACACAAGGCTTAGAGTATTATACAGTCAGTGCTGACTACAAAACCCACAGTTCAACCACCAATAAATGAGTCCTTATTTCAGATTCCACATCTCAACAAACATCTTCTCTTCTGGATCCCAGCAAGCAAACAAAAAAATATCCATCCATAGCCAGCCAACAAAACTAAAACCAGTTTATGCCTCTTGTGTCTAATAGAGTAAACACCTGTAGTCCGGCCGGTGCTGCTGGCAAGATAACCGGCTGTCACTCAGGATGGGCGGGGCCTCTTCCCCTGGTGAATTTAGACACAGATATTCCCTGAGCTGACTGTGTGGGACATAGGTGCCCACCGCCTCAACACGCTTACCTTACTGCACGCGTCTTTCTGTTGAGAGTTTTCCCTGTCTGCAAAAGTGGCTGGTGGCCACACCCAAGATGGAAAACATGCAAACAATAGGAAGTCTTGCTCCGGACTCACACAGGCGGCATGTGCGCCACATTACAGCTGCGCCACAGTTTTGACCCGTCCTCAGCCCGGCGTCAACTCACACTGGAAGCGTTTCAGCAGCGGAGCATTTAGCCTGCCCCACGTTGTTGACTTGTTGTTTATTTGTCATTTTGTGTGCTTCTGCAACCAATCACTGCGCTCTCTGAACCGTTTTCCCCCAGTTCCCTGCAGGGCTGAATTTCCCACATGGAGCATTTCAGAATAAGAGTTTTGCGTGCCTGATTTTGCTGAATTGTTTGGATTTAGTTGATTTGGTAAGTTGTCCTTGATTTTTGTGCTTCTACCGTGGTTAAGAAGGCTATGTAGCTAAATTATTTCTTTTTTGGTCTGTTTTAAGTGTTTATTGTTGATATATGATCGGGAGTCTGTACAAGGTTTTTTATTTTGAAAATCGACCGCATTCTCTTCACCGTTTCTGTGTCTGACTTCCTGCCTGGCTCATCTGCCTCGTGCTGCTTGAAAAAATAATCTTCGCGGAGCGGAGAGCCGCTTCTGGGACGCGCTGCGGCGCTTTAGGTGCAAGCACAGGCATTGACTATAATGGCAACGATTTGCTCCGGCAGCCATAACGCGGCGCACACAACGCCTGTGTGAGTCTGGGGCTACCCAGATGCACAGGTTGCTTATGGCTCTGAGCAGTTTGCTTCCCCTCAGATTGTTTCATTTTCACTGGTGGCCACACTGACTCGTAGTGTTGTTGCTTCCGTTCCAGGTGTATGTACATCTCAGGTGTGCCGGGCACAGGGAAGACGGCCACAGTCCACGAGGTGATGCGCTGTCTGCAGCACGCGGCAGACGTGGACGAGATCCCTCCTTTCCACTTCATCGAGATCAATGGGATGAAGATGACGGATCCTCATCAGGCCTATGTCCAGATCCTGCAGGTGAGAGCCTTGATGGGGCCGCAGCGCTGATGAAATATAGCACGAACTTTGATAAGTGCTACTTACCGCTCACTAAAAGCACAAGTATAAATAACACTGCTGGTTTTAATGTTTACGATAACGTGGATCTATAATTAACGTTTGATATTAGGTGAAATTCAAACTCAACCATTGCAGCAGTCCTACTAAATCTTTTCCCCTGCCCTCCCAGTCCAGTGGTTCTTCACTCTCCTCGTTTACTCCTCTCACAGAGAGCGAAGTATCAGAACTCTTGACCCGTAGCCGTCCAACTACATGCCCACTGGACCCGATTCCCACGAATCTCCTCCAAGCCATATCTCCTACTGTGGTCCCGACAATCACTCATGTGATAAATACGTCTCTGGCTTCAGGAACCATCCCGACCACTTTCAAAAGGGCCCGGGTTACACCCTTGCTCAAAAAGTCCTCACTTGACCCAACTCAAGTTGAGAACTATCGACCAGAGTCTCGTCTACCTTTTTTACCCAAAACTATTGAACGGGCAGTATTCCTGAAAGAGAGCCGTTTCTACTGAAATGGGCTCTTCTGTCTGTAACAGAAGCCCTAAGGTCAGCTAAAGCTGCAGCCCAATCCTCGGTTCTTATCCTGCTTGACCTATCAGCTGCCTTTGACACAGTCAATCACAGGATCCTGCTATCCGCTCTCTCAGCAACGGGCATCTCGAGTAAAGCACTCCTGTGGTTCGAATCCTACCTCTCGGTGCGTTCCTACAATGTTTTGTGGCAAGGACACTTATCCTCCTCCCACTGCCTCTCCACAGGGGTGCCCCAAGGCTCAGTGCTTGGGCCCCTTCGCTTCTCAATTTACACCACCTCACCGGGGCCGATCATTCGCTCGCACGGCTTCTCTTACCACTGCAACGCAGACGATACGCAACTCTACCGATCCTTCCCGCCAGGCGCGGCTCACGGACCGTCTATCGGACATATCTGCATGGATGAAGTCTTGCCACCTTCAACCAAACCTCTCTAAGACTGAACTCTTGGTCATTCCAGCCAAGCAACCTATCCACCATAACATCAAACTACAAATTGACTCCGCAACCATCACTCCAACCAGGTCGGTGAGAAACTTGGGTGTCGTGATTGATGACCAGCTGTCCTTTTCAGACCATGTTGCTGCTGTCTCTCGTTCATGCCGCTTTGCTCTATACAACATAAGGAAAATCAGGCCCTACCTCACTCAGTATGCCACCCAGCTACTGGTACAGGCCATGGTTCTCTCTCGCATCGACTATTGCAGGGGTCGGCAACCCGCGGCTCTTTCATCCTTGTACTGCGGCTCCGAGTGGCTTGGGAAAATAAATTACAAAAAAAAAAAAAAAAAGTATTTAATTGAAGTGTATTTTATTTGTGTTAGTTCTTTTTTTTAAATTATTTTAGTAACTAAATTGGAAGATTATTGTGATCTTGAAATATTAAAATATTAATAAAATAAATATATTATTGTTTTTCGTCGCTCAAAATAAACGTCATACTCGCGGTAGCAGTATGACGTTAGCAGCTATTCTCTACCATGAACTACATTAAAAACAAACACCGCTCACGCCTCACAGATGACAGCTTGCAGTCCTGCATAAAGATGAAAGTGACTTCGTACAGCCCCGATTTGTCAGTCCCATTAACCAGGAAAAATAAATATTTATGCAGATATTTTGCAAATATTTATTTTTCATTGTTCAGTGACACAGTGGTTTTTTTCTCAATTTATTTTTTAAATTCAGGTCAAGGCTCCGCTACATGCTCTGAAAGCCCAAAGGCGATACTATAAGGATGACGGCTCACGGCATTTTTTGCTTTTGTTTGCTACATGGATAGTTCATGGAAGTTCAGCTTTTTAATTTATTTGAAAGAGACATTCAGACATTATTATTTTTTCCAGAATTCAAAATGTTCAAAGCACTAATAAGTGTATGGCTGGGGTGAACCCCGAAGCATGAAAGGGAAGTTGTTGTTGTTGTTGTTTTTTTAAATAAATGCGGGTTTTTTTCATTTTAGATGTCAAAAAGTATTTGCGGCTCCCAGTGTTTTCTTTTCCGTGGAAACAGAGTTCAAATGGCTCTTTCGGTGTTAAAGGTTGCCGACCCCTCGACTATTGCAACGCCCTCCTAGCAGGTCTCCCAGCTTGTGCGGTGAAACCCTTACAAATGGTTCAGAACGCAGCAGCGCGTCTGGTTTTTGATCAGCCCAAAAGGACTCATGTCCCTCCATTACTCAGTGACCTCCACTGGCTCCCCGTGGCCTCCAGAATCAAATTCAAGTCACTAATGCTGCATACAGAGTGACTACTGGGTCTGCACCATCTACCTAAACTCCATAATACAAGTTTACGTTCCTTCTCGGCCGCTACGCTCCTCCAACGAACGCCGCCTGGCTCTGCCATCCCTTCACACAAAGCAATCCCAGTCCCTGTTCTCATCTGTGACACCACGATGGTGGAACGAGCTACCGCACGCCATCAGAGCAGGGCCGTCCCTCTCGAACTTCAAGAAGCTCTTGAAAACTCATCTCTTCCGAGAACACTTCCTCTTTTAACACCTCTAACTCCTAACCTCTGACATGCACTTCCTGTGCTTTTCTTCTTCTATCCCCTACAATGATCTTGAATCTTTTTTGTTTTGATAGCACTTTTCTTTTTTTAACTCTTACTTCCTTCCCTTGGTATTTACCCCATTGATGTGATATGTACTGTGAGCTCTTACTAGTACTTATTGCTGCTCTTACTAGTATGCATTATATGCTTGTATGTTGTTCCTCAAATGTAAATCGCTTTGGATAAAAGCATCTGCCAAATGAATAAATGTAAATATGTGAGAGGCATCATTACACAATCTGGTTTCAATTCACCACCTGATGTGATCAAGTTAAACCAAATCAGTTTAACTTGATCGGATCAAAGCAAAACAAAGTGAAGGAATGATTTCCACAGGTGGATCATTTTTGTGTAACTGTTAAATCAGTAAACGGTCTTCTGGCTCTGGATGAGCTTCTGGACGTCTGGAGAAGTCATCTAAGCTTGCAGATTACAGTGCTAAAACTGAAAGTTACCAGCTTAGATATGGGGTGAGTCTATCCACTTGCATTATGGGAAACGTAGGATCCAGGGTTTTGGATTAGACATTATATCTTGAAACATGCCGCGTAGATTTTAGCACTTTTGGCACACCCCTGACAGCAAACTCTGAGAAGGTCTCTTTTCTATGGAGGAGCTAGGCTAGCATTTTCCACCTGCTTCCAGTCTTTGTGCTAAGCTAGGCTAAACATGGTACGGCATCGACCTCCTATTGTATCTCTAAATCTGTCGCCTCACCTCGCTCTGGAGAAGGCAAACGTAGCTCCGGTTCTTTAAGTGTAGGAGTGATTTTTGGCTGAACTGACTCATCGGTTCTGGTCTCTGCAGAAACTGACGGGTCAAAAGGCCACGGCCGACCACGCAGCCGCCCTGCTGGAGAAGAGATTCAGCAACCCTGCACCCAGGAAGGAGACCACCGTGCTGCTGGTGGATGAAGTAAGAATCTGTTTCATGTTAATCATTTATTTTGTTTGCATTTCCCCCAAAAACCCATCAGTGAGCCTCACTGCTGCACTCTCGTTCATCACCACGAACACACACTGTAGTTTATCCTGACTCGGTCCTACATACACCTTGGAGCTGCGAGCTACAGACAGGAAGTCGGACAGCATTGAGAAACGGACTAACATGTTGTTGGTTCGGGTCTTTAATAGGATTTGTTGACAATATGCAAAATATAGAATAAAATAACAACAATGAACAAAATGGACACACTGATACACAGGGCTAGTGTGAGAAATGTTTTTTCTTTTTGTAATGCAAAGTGACACTTTCTTGCTGCAAATTCTGCAAAAACAGAGTCACATTTTCCATTACAGAAGAGAAACTGAGAATAATGTGAGAGACGAATGAAAGAGATTTGAGGTTAGAGGAAGTCTCTTCTTGGTAGCAGACTGTGGTTTAACACTTTTCCATTGTTATATCTATTGTGAACACAACACCGAAACTCAGAGGAGAGGGGTCCAACTGCAGACCTACTACTGTCAGGCCACCTGACTACCCCTGTCAGGAAGGCCAGTCAGTTTTTTATGGCCCCACAGGACCTAATGTGATGCATTCTCAGTTGTTTTGCTACTCTACACATCGTGACAGCCACAGATGCCATTTAGTATTATCCAAAACATTGAGTAAAGTCTGAATGCATTGCTCTTGGTGTATGTTTGCCGTCAATAGCTAACGTACCGCTGTCAATATTGTACATCTAAATCACACAAATTACAGAATGTTACAGGTGTGTAAGTTAGGTTATTTGTCGTTCTACATAGGTAATGTTAGGCTACACCAACGGTGGCTATCGTTAGCTCCTCGAGTAGCAGGATTAGCTTTTTTTTTCTTCTTCTTCTTTGGATAACGTAAACTACTCATAGACTGTATGTAGCTACAGTGTGTTCGTTTTTTGTAAAGCATTTTGCAAGGGCATAGCTTTGCATTTGTCTTAACTAACCTGAGAGTCGTCAACATGTTATTTGTCCAAAAGAAGATAAAATGATATCCTTTAGACCGTTCGGTGTAGCTTTTCCCACTTAAAGTTAAAGAGTGTGCAAAGACTTGGCTGGCTGTACGAAATGATCTTAGTTGAATTGAAGTTTATGTGCAACAACAGTGTTTCGTACCCTTTCCTGAAGAAAGTTACTCCCTGTCCTGCATGATTTACTCTCTCCCTGCTTCAACACAGCTGATTGAAGCAGCTTCAGGATTCATAACGAGTTGATAGTTTGAATCGGCTGTTTTGACGCAGGGAGAGATTTAACACACACGGTTATTTTAAACAGTTATCCACATAAAGATACTAACTCCTCACCACAGCCACTGTTGGCATATCCTAATTTGCGTGATTAAGATGTAGAAATATTGATAGTTGTAGATATTTTAATATAACATGCCAGACCCATGCGTTCAGACTTGGAATCATGCAAATCGGTCACTGCTGCCAGCTCCTTTTCTAACTGTGTAATCTGTGTTTATGTATTATTACAGAAGGCTATTGTCTACATTCATTTTTAAAAAGTGGATATTTACAAAATAATAGATACAGGTATAGATGTCGTGTTGCATGTGTGTTCATTTTTACGGATTGTACAGTTTGATAGTCCAGCAGGGTTCTAGTTACGCGCACCGCATGAATGTCATTACGACATGATTAATAATTAATATGATACCATAAAGGCCGGGTTAGCGGTCTCTCCTTGAGCACGAGTCTTTGTTGGTTTATTTCGGGCTTTTAAAAGTATCACACACATCTGGGGGCAAGTAGTGGGCTGCTGTGTGAGAGTGAGAGAGAGAGAAAGTGTTGACCACGTAATGAGCAATGAAGTCTCTGTCCAGGCTTCTGTTTGTTTATTGATCCCGCCGGTAACGTCCGTTATACTACGCACCCCCACGAAGCTCAAATTGTAGTCCAGTTTCCACAGTTGTCTGTTTTTCCTATTAAATTCAGCTGATTGCATTAAAAAGTTACACTCTTAATCAACGACAATGTTTTTCTATGAATGGATGTGGCTGTGTGGACGGAATTAACGTCCTATTTCGACAGAATAAATAAATAGTGCCTGTAAAAAAGATCCTGTTACTAGTTGAACGATTGCAGCGATATACAGTGGGCTTTGTTGCTACATTGGTTAAGTAGAACAGGCTCAAATCAATATGCTATTTAACGTTAAGGAATTAGCCTGCTAGTTTCCCATTACAATGTTGACTAAAGAATTAAATATAAATCAACGGCAAAAGCCCTCCCCCCTATGTCTACGTGATTAAACTTTATAATTTTTGAATGCGTTTCCTGTCAAATTGCACGCTTTTATTTTGTAGTTTTTGCGTCTATTTCCTGTCCTGACGGGCCTGACAGTGGAGGTCTGCAGTTGGACCCTCTTGACTCAAGAGTGTGACCTAAAGTTAATATCTGATGTTAGTACAACTTCTTAAAAATCAGGACAAAATTCATGAACTGAAGTTAAAATGATCAGTTTCCTCAATGTGAGTATGAATATGTGAATACGTTTGTCAAGCATGGGCTGATTTTTGTATCAGTACAGACTGAATTTGAATTGCTTAACTTGAATTTGAATACATTAGTTTGAAACTGAATACCGATAACCTTGAAACTGAATGTGATATTCTAAATCTAAACTGAAACTCTATTTGAGCCTCACTAAAAAAAATCAAGTCTTTGTGTGTTTTCACATTCAGTTTTAAGGTCACAGGCGGGTCAAGGTCCTTGAAGAAGAGCGAGTTAGTGAGTATAATGCAGTTTTTTAATGCAAGTATTCAATTTGAGCAATTCAAATTCAGTTCTAAATGATTTAAATTCAGTCTGTACTGATACAAAAATCAGCCCTTAGTCAAGGTCCTAAAACTAAACCACATTGAACTCTGCTGCAAGGTCAGAATATTAAGAGGAAGGAGGAGGAAAATATCTATAATGTTATTAAGATAATCTAAGAGTAGCTCTGTGGAGCGTGCCAACATGCTGATGTTTAGCAGGTGTAATGTTCACCATGTTCTCTCAAACTTACTCAGTAAGCAGCAAAATTATATATTTTATATATATATATATATATATATATATATATATATATATATATATATAATATATATATATATATATATATATATATATATATATATATATATATATATATATATATATATATAATATAATATATATAATATAATATATATATAATATATATATATAATATATATATATAATATATAATATATATATATAATATATATATAATATATAAGTGTCGCCTAATTTTTGGGAAACCAGCTTGTGGTGCTTACAGTAATGCTGTTGGAAATTATATACTTTGAAAGATTAAGAGGAAGCCCTTGCTGAACCACAGTGCTATTTCCTCTGAAGTTAAACAGAAACATACAGCAAAAAGTGTCAAACTTTGCAGCCACGTTTGGTGGACGTGTAGAAAAGATTTGTGACATGGCTGCAGGAGCTGCAGGTAGAGGTAATAAGATGCCAGATTCAAAGAAGTGTGGGTTTAACCTGATAAGGAAACATTAATGGGGGAAAGGATGAGGGTGGCCATGGCAGGGGACAAACAAATCTACAGACAGAGGTGTGTGTCTGTCTGTCTACAGAATGCAATATTGTGATAAAGATTTTATATATTGCACTGTGAATATGAGATGTATCTGGATTTTTATTGATTATATGTCTAATCATAAATCTAAATAAATAAACTAGCATTAATCTTCCACCTTAGGGCCATTTTTCCTTCACTCTTTACTTTGATGTCAGGAATATTATTTATTTTATGTATGTATTTCCAGTTATTGAGTTTATTTAGTCGTTTTGCTGTTGTAAACACTGTTACTGTTAAAATGTAAATCTATTCCAATACTGTTCTGAATTTAATGATCATTTTTAAAAAAAAAGGGCAGATAAGATAAATAGGCTCGAAGTCCTAAAATGTCTCTGGTATGCTATAAGTCGGAGGAATAAGTGTCAGTATAAACCAGTGTTGTTAATTATTTTAAGGCACAAGGTTTTTATTAAGTTACTGTAATAATCCTAGTTCAAGTGAAAAGTTTTTAGTCGTTGCATAAAAGAGATCGGACCTCTCTACGCCCGTGAACAGAGCACCTTTTGTTTCTGTGTGTAGAAGGTAACGATCATGGTGTTAGCCGGCAGCTAACGTTACTTCTACAGGCGACACACACAACTGTGCTGCTCTCTTTGCGTCTGTCTTGTAAAATACATCCAACAACCCACAACGAGCACATTGCGGTAAACCGATCTTACCGGTGTAACACCAAAATATGTGACCTATCAGATTCCGTGACTAAACCCAAACGACGATGTTTTCCGAACCATAACCAAGTACTTTTGGCGCCTAAACCCAACCAAACTGCAACCGCATCACATCGTCACCAAAGCCTGTGGTGCTTAACTTGCCATTTGGGTCACAGAATCTGATGGGTCCCACATTTTGGTGTCACACCGGCGGAATCGAACATGTCCTGTAGGTGCTGCGGAACCACGAGCTTTGTCCGAACGGGAGGGCTGGTCACAGAGGAGGTCATCAGGTGAAAGGTCATAAAGTGGGTCATTTTATTTTTGTTGTTAATTCGTTTTACTAATAGTTTGATTGGGCAGGCCTTCACAAATTTAAAAATGAATAAATTAAAGAACTGTTGCTTTGATAAAAGGGCATTTGGGCATCAGAGGGCAAAAGGGCAGGTGCTGATCTACTGCGCATGTGTGGAACGCGTCCGCCAAGTCGTCCCCTCTGTCTCTACCAACATTTCCTGTCACAAATAAAAAGGCTAAAATGCCCCAAAAAATATGGCTTTAAAAGAAATTATGTGTGAGCATGACAAATTTGGTGCCGTTTGGCCCGCAGGTGGCGCTGTAGCATCATCAAATTGAATGTGAAGTGAGGTGGGCGGCTCTGGAGAAAGAAGTTGAGAAACATTGCCCTGCTGTTCCAAGTCCTCAGTTTTAGACATTATGTAGACATGCTTTAGTTTAACAGTTCTATCCAGAGCCATGTTCAGAGAGGGTTACCTCTAACTCTATCCCCGCCTAACGAGGCATCAGCTAATTTGAGCTTTGATGTTGATTTGATAACCACAGTGAGTTTTGTAGGTACGTGTCCTATTTTCCCCTGATGGTGCTACATTGGGAACAAGAAATCTGCGTCGAAGTCATAGAAATTAACTTGCTGCCGCACAGATCCTGCTTCAACAATCAAGGCAACAGACATGGTGTTGCTAAATGAACTCACGTTGTCCATGCAAAGAAGTCTCTGCTGTGGTTCTTCACCATCGCTTCGTTTGTCTCTAGTAGAACTTTCTTCTTTAGCCGAATCTTCTGCAGCTGCAAAGTAGACAATCTGCTTCCTGTTTACTCCGACATGCACAGGGAGCGTGAACAGAAAATGAATGTGTGTTTTCAGTCTTAATATGGCAATGTGTGATATCCAGAGATCTGCTCTGATACCCAGCTAAAACGCTGAGGACCCGGGGGAGTGCGATGTCGATTTAGATGAGCAGTTCTCGACTGCAGGCTGCAGCACACACCGCTAAAAGTGTTTATTAGACACAACGGCTTTTGCTGAGAGAAACTGTCAGAACAGAAACTCCACAGAGCAGCTTTAAATAAATCTAAGCAACTGCTGGACGAACTGCAAAACATAATTTTCTGTTAAAACAACCACAAAAGGACTAACCCTCTTTAACCCTTTGTGTTTTGGACTGTAGTTGGACCTGTTGTGGACCAGGAAGCAGAACGTGATGTACAACCTGTTCGACTGGCCGACGCGGCGTCACGCTCGCCTGGTGGTGCTGACCATCGCCAACACCATGGACCTGCCGGAGAGGATCATGATCAACAGAGTGGCCAGCAGACTGGTGAGGGAGCCCAGCCTGTGCCGACGAACCCTTTTTAATATCGACACTGTGTTCATGCTTAAGTGGAGGCCTGCAGGAAGAGTTTCCGCTCTCAATGCTTTCATCTTATCCAGATAGCACACATGGTCGCTGGTGCGTGTGATTCTCAGGTTTCATAAAACGGAGGCAAATATTTCTTTCTCATAAAGTGGTGAACTTCTTCTGGCAACTCAGAAAGAAAAAACAGGGAATCTGCAGCTCTCAGATACATTTAAAAAGGCTTTAAAGGTATGTCAGGAGATGTTCTGCACCGCTGCACAAGTAAAAGCTTGTTAACTAATCTAATAATAATAGTAACTTAGGTATTTATAGTGCTATATCTATCTAAGTCCGCTTAACAAAGGCTTTGAGGTGTGTGTTTTCGAACGTGCTCAAAGAACCAGCTGTGCAGATCTCAAGTGGGCGTTTGTTCCAGATTGTAGGGGCAGCAACACCGAAAGCTGTGTCCCCAAAAGACTGTAGCCTCAACCAGATCCTTGTCGGAGGACCACAGATCTGTAAGGTATTTTGGTGCAGGTCTTTGGAGGGCTATAAAGGTGAGGAGGAGGATTTTGGAAATATCGTGGGACCTGACTGGCAGCCAGTGAAGCCCCATAAGAGTTAGGGGGTGATGTGCTGCCAGGATTTTGTGCATGTTAGAACTCTAGCAGCTGAGTTCTGAGCATACTGGAGCCTGTTGATGGTCTCGCAGCGTAAACCGAACAGTATCCCATTACGCAGTAATCGAGACGGGTGGTGATCAAAGAGTCTGCTGCAAACAAACTGCTTGTTACAGACAGCAGCGAAGAAGGCCGTCAATTTTTAGCAAAACACTTCACTGAATTAAAACGTTTCATTGGTTAATGCATCAATTTTTTGCTGCTTATCCTGGTCAAGGTTGTTTTAATTTAATTATATTTATTGTATTGTAATAAATTGCTGGGAATGGCTGAATAGAAGTGATATAGAGGTCTTATTGTCCCTACTGGTTTCCCATCATAGAAACATACTGTATACAGTAGATACCTGTTTCATTAACAGCAAAATCACAACTCTTCTGTTTGTATTCTTTGTTTTTGTGCCTGTTGCACACGCCCATAAAGCCCAGATGAATATATTAAATTGTGTGAATGGGCAGCTAGTCTTTGACGTTTTGATTTCCTCTTTTTTTAATGCAAAGGAGAACTCCTGAGACAACTTCCCAAATCTAAATTTGTTTTACGGCAGGAAAGACCTTGACATTTAGTCACTGTTAGATGTGACTCTGCAAAATGTTCTACCTCATCTCTTGGCGGGGAAAGAGTTGTAAAACCACTAAACTGTTGCGTTGTGACTGCAAGCAGCCTATTAAATAACAACACTTGTGTCATTTAATTCAGTGTAAATATCTAATTATTGATTAATGCATCTTTAATCTTATGTTAGAGGGAGGAAAAACATTTATTTGGAGACACAGTTAAATCCACGATGTGAAACAAAGCGTTTCACGCTGCTGTCGTTGCTCTGTTTGTGTTTCCAGGGTTTGACCAGGATGTCGTTCCAGCCGTACAGCTTCAAGCAGCTGCAGCAGATCATCATGTCCAGGCTGAACAAGGTGAAGGCCTTCGAGGAGGACGCTCTCCAGCTGGTGTCCAGGAAGGTAAACCACCAGGACCGCTCTTTCCCACCCGACCTGCGCTCATTCACGGGTGTGTCCACTCACGGTCTTCCTCTCCCGTCACAGGTTGCCGCTCTGTCGGGCGACGCTCGCCGGTGTTTGGACATCTGTCGCAGGGCAACGGAGATCTGCGAGCACTCGGCCGCCGTCCCTTCTGCCCCAGGATTGGTGGGAATGAGTCACGTGATGGAGGCGCTGAACGAGATGTTCTCCTCCGCCTACATCACTGCCATCAAGTGAGAGTCTCCCTTTGGTCTCTTGAATGAAATGCACCTTTTTTAAAGTTGTTCATTAGCAGCTGTGATGAGATTAAGTGACTAATGTGTGTTTGCAGGTGTGCGTCAGTGCAGGAGCAGCTCTTCCTCAGGGCGGTCATCTCTGAGTTTCGGCGGCTGGGATTGGAGGAGGCCACCTTCCAACAGGTGAAGCTCAAACAACACTAACTAGAATGTAGATTATCCCCCTTTTACATCCAGCAGTTTGTTTTGACAGCAGAAGTTGTACGCTGACGTCTGTAATTGGGAAAGAGGCAATGAAAGCAAACTAAGAAACAAGGAAAACTACAATATCTCCTTCTGAGATGCAGCGGAGCAGAAGTGAAAGTGGAAATGGGGGCTGCCTGGAAGGTGGAAGGCTAAACTTGCATCTGATTGGCAGGCGATGCTGTTTGTCTTGTCACGCCTGCATTCAAAGATCATGACCGCGCACAGATTCTGCTGTTGTAGGAGAGTCTCGTCTGTTTTTTCCTCTGAATGCAGATTGGGCAGAAGCACCAACTCATGCAGAAGACTGTTTGTGTCGCGGTCTAAATCCACCAACTACAGCTGCACCACGGTGCCAGTGTCCACTGCAAGTGTCACAGCTTTGACTTGTTCTACTACCTTCTCCACAGCGCTCTCTGCTCCCGTTTCGTTCCGTCAATTTCAGGTTGCATATCCACAGGGAGCATTTCAGAATAAGAGCATTTTGCCTGCCTGATTTTGCTGACATGTTTAGATTTTATTGATTTGACAATCAGTGCTTGCTTTTGTGCTTCTGCTGTATGGTAAAGTAGGCTACGTAGTTAAATGGTTTCTTTTTTGTCTGTTTTGTCAGCGTTTATTGTTGTTTTACGATAGGGAATCTGCACAGGGTATTTTATTTTGAAAATTAACCGGATGAGCACCGGCAGCCGCAGCGTAGGCGGACTCAGGGGAGGTAACCCGGAAAGCTGGAGCGCTACGAGACGGCACACATGGTTGCGGGATTACGCCGCAGTATTTTGTTCAGTATGAATGAGCGAATGTGGCGTTTTGGCGGACATTCTTTATTGTGGAATCTCTGTGGGAAAGCGGCTACTGGAAGTGGAAGCCCACGCCATAATGCCTCCTCCACCAAACTTTACACGTGGCCCAGTTCAGTCAGGAACATACCGTTCCCCTGACAACCGCTATACCCAGACTCAGACAGAGAAGCATGATTCGTCATTCCAAAGAACGCCGCCGCTCTAGTGTCCAGTGGTGGCGTGCTTCACAGCGATGCATAAGACGCTTTGCGTTGCACTTTGTGATGTGAGGCTTGGATGCAGCCACTCGGCCATGGAAACCTGTTCCATGAAGCTCTCTACTCACTGTTCTTGAGCTAATCAGAAGGCCACACAACGTTTGGAGTTCTGTAGCTATTGGCTCTGCAGAAAGTTGGCGACTTCTGCGCACTGTGCGCCTCAGCGTTTCTGTTGACTGTGGAATATTTAGTAGTGAGGAAATTTCACAAATGGACTTGTGGCAACCTATCACGGTACCACGCTTGAATTCACTGAGCTCCTGAGAGCGACTCATTCTTTCACAAGTGTTTGTAGAAGCAGGCTGCAGCCTAGGTGCTTGATTTTATACACCTGTGGCTCATGGAAGTGACTGGAACACCTGAATTCAGTGATTCAGAGGGGGGTCCTAAATCTTTTGGCAATATAGTGTAGCTGCAAACAATGGGGTGGGGTCTCTCACTCTCTCTCTCTCTCACTCAGTCACTCTCTCTCACCCCAAATAGCATACATAGCACGCTGCTTATGGTGCAGGTTAGGAATAAAAGAAGCATTCACAAGCTCAATCAGAAGACGATCGAAGATGGTAGCAGTGGTGCATGTATCAAATAGGCCTACATACTTCTTAATGCTTGGCCAAATGTTCAACACAACATCACTGAAGACTAATAACTGAGTACCCGACAGACAGAGTATAGACAATGATTCAGGCAGCCTAACCTGGCAGGCCCAGTGCCCTGCAGTTCAGTTAAGTTCAGAGAGAGGAGGAGGTGACATTTCACTCTCCCTATTTGAAAAGGAAGGCCATTCTCCTGTCTGTCATGGTGGCGAAGTGGTCAATAACCAAGTTATAGAGTTTCCCACTGGTTTTTCGTCCTCCGCAACAACAGAGTCATTCGAAGTTTGGCGCTACCAGCTAGCCACTCTGTACGAATATAGTTTTTCCTCATTAAACGTCCAAAACCCCTTTTTTCCTCTCCACGCCCAGCTCAAGTTTTGGCGTTGGTCTTCTGTCAGATTTAATCTTAAGTTGCTCCTGTAGTGGTAGTTTAGTAAAACTATTTATTATAACTAAAAACTCCAAATCTCCACCCTCCATAAGTGCACCAGCTAAAGTTGCTAACAGCTCCCGTTATTTCATCTGAATGACGTTGATCGCGTGAAGCCAGACAGCGGCTGACTTCCCATGGCATCATCCTGACTAATCACAGCTAGACAGTGGCCTCATCTGATTGGTTAATCATTACGTTTTTTTTCACAAAGGGATGCCAACTCTGCCTGGCCTGGCGCTGTTTTACTTATTGTAAGATAGTGAGAAATGGGGAAGAGACGACCACAACAGCTTATAAGAGTTATCGAAACTATAAACATTGTGTTTTTATTGAAATGATAAAAAGAGTCTGATAAAAACAGGGGAAGCCTGGCTTCCCTTGGCTTCTGGGAGAAAACGCCACTGCTGCAAAGGTGACCCATCCTGTATGATTATTTTAATGAAAACGGGTAAAAGTACCTAAAGGCAAATATGCAGGGGATATGCAGGATGGGGCAGTGGATGAAACACTTTGTGACCCATCGTCCGCTAAATGAATCTAATGTGTGATGACGTAAGTCAGAACAGAAAACACTCATAAATCAGAGGAACGTATCAAACAGCAAACGAAAGCTTTCAAAAAGCAGTTTCTGCGAAACTAAACTGGACTTCCTGAGAGGGATGTGACTCTTTAAAATGATTTCAGTACCACTACATCCAATCCAACATTACCAATGTTATGGGATTAAATTTGTTTCATAATTGAACAAAGTCTCCAAAGAATAAATTAATCAGATGTAATCAGTTGACACTTCATTGCAAAAGTCTCATTTTGATCATGATTGATCTTTTTTCCTTTCCATTTCTTTCAGTTTTACTGCTGAATATTTCATTATACATGTTGCTCATCCAGACCAGAACTGAAACCTTCAGCAGTGAAACTAAAAAAAGGAGAGTACCTGAAAGAAAAGTGTATAATTTTGGTTTCGCGTTGTTTTTTTTTCATCAGTTTGAACAATTGCTTTTATGTGATTCTTTGGAAATGTTGTAAAATTATTATGAAACCAATGTGATCCCATAAAATGTTAAGCTACAGTTAAACTCTTAGCATCACTGTGTTTACTTACAGGGTTAGGGTTTGTTAAATAATAATGATAAAACGTGTTGTGTATCACTTTTCATACATAAAATGCAGCTCAAAGTGCTTTACGTTCACAAGCACTTAAGAAGAGTACCATAAATAAATACAGCAACTACACAAGTAATGAATCTAGAATCAAGCCCTTTCACTTACCGTAAAGGCTTGAATACATGTGCACTCAAAATTTAGGTGCTGCGAGCTTAATCACCTTCTCACAGACGAGTGACAGAAACACTCAAAGCTGTTCTTTTCTAAGAAGTCAGCCACAGATGGAGCAGATGTGCTGGAGACAGTTCAGCAGAACAGCGTCTGCAAACGGCTCGGACACTTTAAAATGCTTCCACACTGCCGACACGTCAACGTAATTGTTCGGTAAAAGTTTTTCGGACTTGTTGCATATTAGGCCGAACACCGAAGGTGCTTTTTGTTATTTTCAGCAGATTAATTTCGGTGGCCGAACATTCGGTGCATCCCTAAAATATATATTGAGATATTTAAAAGGATTATCACCTCAGATTGTTTCCAATTAAACATGTTTGCTGCATAAAGATACAAGATGCTTTTCCACAGCCTATACAAACAAGTACAAAATCAAAGCTGCAGTTTCACACGAGTCCCCATCCACACGGCTGCGTTTTTGTTTTAAAAACAGAGACCTTTTGCTACGTTTGCACCTCCTGTCCAGACTAAGACTAGTATTTACTTTGCGACGACTCCCAGTCTGTTTTCCGCCACCACCGCCAGTAGCAGACCCAGCTCGTTACTGGTCCATGCAAAATAAAATCTGGTGCGGTTCTTTATTATTTCACCAAATCTTCTGTAACAACAGAATAGACCACCTGCTTCATGTTTACGCCGGCACGCGCATGCCCAGTGAACGTGAACGGCCACTAGATTTCTAGTTTTTGTCATTTTAATGTAGACGGAGATCAATTCTGATACGCAGCTAAAACTCTGGTGTGGACGGAGATGGTAACTGTTTTAAAACTCCGTTTTTAAACTAAAACGCAGTAGTATGCATGGGGCCTGAGAGAATTTAGTGTCATACAAAGGCTGTAGCAACTGTTTTTAAAAGAAATATACAGGACAAAGGGATAGGTCCCCTTTGCAGCCATGTGTAACGTTACATTGGTTACTGGCTAAATGCTGGACAAACTGAAACATATTTATAAAGGCCATTGTAAATGCTGAGTGTTTGTAGCAGTGGAGAGCTGAAGGAATGTTAAAAGGACCTGCAGGATGAGCACAGCATCAGTGTCAGGAGACGTGTGAGGAAACTCAGCTCAAATCAGACATCACTGAGCTGCTGGAGCATCTACACAGAAACATGTATGTCCAGCTCTTCCTGATTCACTTTCCTGAGCCGGGGAGGGAGCTTCTCGAAACTGTTCTCATTCCCAGGTAGTCGAATACAGACGTTTTGTCACGCCCCGCTGCATTTTTCACACATGGGTAAGTATGTCAGTATTTGACTACCTGGAACTAACACCGGCTGACTTCTCGGCTGGTCAACTTCACAGAGCGAGTCGATACAATCTGACTTTGATTTCAATCAGTGAAGCATCTGCAAGGGTTGAAGCATGGACACACTGCACAACAAGGCTAACATTAGCTACATATGCTAGCATTTTTAGCTTTTTTGTCATGGGCAATGCAGAAAAATCAATACACACTGAACAAATTTATAAAAGCAACATTGTTGTTTTTGCCCCCATTCATCATGAGCTGAACTCAAAGATCTAAGACTTTCTCTATGTACACAAAAGGCCTATTTCTCTCAAATATTGTTCACAAATCGGTCAAAATCTGTGTTAGTGAGCACTTCTCCTTTGCTTAGTTAATCCATCCACCTCACAAGTGTGGCAAATCAAGATGCTGATCCGACAGCATGGGGATTGCACAGGTGTGCCTTAGGCTGGCCACAATAAAAGGCCTTAGGCTGGCCACGATAAAAGGCCACACCAAAATGTGCAACTCCATCACACAGTACAATGCCAGGCATTGGCATGCTGACTGCAGGAATGTCCACCAGAGCTGTTGTCTGTGAATTTAATTTTCATTTCTCTACCATAAGCCATCCCCAAAGGCGTTTCAGAGAATATGGCGGTACATCCAACCGGCCTCACAACCGCAGACCATGTGTAACCACACCAGCCCAGGACCTCCACATCCAGCATCTTCACGTTCAAGATCGTCTGAGACCAGCCACCCGGACAGCTGCTGCAACAATCTGTTTGTTTGCATAACCAAAGAAATTCTGCACAAACGGTCAGGAACCGTCTCAGGGAAGCTCATCTGCATGCTCGACGTCCTCATCGGGGTCTCGACCTGACTGCAACTTCGCACAGCCATTGAAGAGGAGTGGACCAACACTCCACAGGCCACAACCTGATCAACTCTATGCGAAGGAGATGTGTTGCAAATGGTGGTCACACCAGATACTGACCCCCCCCCCCCCCAATACAGTGGAACTGCACATTTTGGTGTGACCTTTTTTTGTTGCCAGCCTAAAACACACCTGTGCAATCCCCATGCTGTCTGCTCAGCATCTTGATATGCCACACCTGTGAGGTGGATGGATTATCTCTGCAAAGGAGAAGTGCTCACTAACACAGATTTTGACAGATTTGTGAATAATATTTGTAGTTAGTAGGGTTTTTACAAATGTAAGTGGGATTTTTAACGAGGTTTTCTTATTCCCAGAGCAAAACCTGAAAGTTCCGGTTTCATGCAAATGTGCTGTGTGTTAACCTGGCCCTGTACAAAGACTCTGTGTCCACATTGTGGCATCACATGCTGTAGTGGTTGTAGCACAGAATTATATCCCAACATGTGACATGATGATCCAGTCTAGTTTGATTTGCAGTTGAGTCCAGACGCAGGTCCTGAAGCACAGAACCTGAATAATTATACTGAGTTCCCCCTCTGATTGGTCTGTCAGGTGTTTGTGCAGCACCAGGCTCTGTGTCGGGTGGAGGGCCTGCAGCCCATCAGCGTGTCGGAGGGCCTGGCGGTGTGTCAGCGCCTGGGAGCCTGCAGGCTGCTGCTGCTGGAGCCCAGCCGCCTGGGGGTCCTGCAACGCATCCGCATCAACGTGAGCCAGGACGACGTGCTCTACAGCCTGAAGGCCGACTGAAGGAGGATCCTCTTCAGACTAATTTATCCGGATCACGTGAGGAATTTAACCGGCCGAGTGCGGGCACACAGCTTCGAGTTTTTAAACATTAAAATGACTTTGTGTGATAACGACAGAAATCACACTCTTAGTTATTTTATGACTCCGTGAAACGGTAAAGGCAAATATTGGGAGTACTTGACCTAAATTAATTTTACTGCAAAGTTCGATTGAATGTCTTTTTTTTCTCCATAAATCAGGCTGTTTGTCTTGTTTTAGGTGTTTTTGTATGTCCCCAGTTACGTCTTACGTCAGTCAAGTCTTACTACTACTACTACTACTAACAGTAGATTTTGCTCTGTCTGGAATTATTTTTAACGTTCTTGTATAGTGCATCTTAATTTTAATGTTCCAATACTTTGAATATGCAATAAAACTCTTTAGTTTAAACCGCCCTGCACCTGCAGTGATAGTTTTATTACCGACACTAACCAGTTCTATCGAAAAAAACAAACAAAACTAAAACAAATCAGTGGAGCAGAGACTGTAACGCAGCTGAGTGCGACCACAGCTGTGAGGTCTGTCTGGTGGGCCTCAAACATTAGGTGTTCAGCAGTAGTTCACACTCAGAAGGCTGGAGTCAGGCCACCACAAGCCTCCTAAACAGCTGTGTCTGTGGAACTCTGTTGAAAGGGATGAACACTATCCAAAAAAGTATATTTAAAGTTTGAGGTCACACCAGAGAGTTTATATTCTATCATGTAGTCTTAAGAGATGTCTTACATGTCGCTCCAGAAACTTCCATAGGTATGAAATAGGCCTGAATGATATGAGGAAAATCTGCGAGAACATTGTTTAATATTGTGGTGACAGGAAGTGTGCGTGACAGGAAGTGTGCATATCAGCTGCGTGGTTGCTTTTAAATTCACTAGGGGTTTTCAAAGCCTGAGACTGGGCCTCACCTCAGACAAAGCTATTTTTGCTCAGGTCCTGGATGCTTACGGGATCATGAGACTGTTCTTTGTCTGTAAAGCTGCTTTTCCATTACCAGTACCAGCTCGACTCGCCTTTTTTGGTTTTCCATTGTAGAAAAGTTGCACCTGTACCTGCTTCCAGGTACTTTTTTTTCATATCACCTCTGTCGAGGTTCCAAGCGAGCTGAGGCGATACTAAAAATGTGACGTGAAAACACAGCAGACTGCTGATTGGTCAGAGAGAATCGTCACTATTCACTGCATCATCATTGCGTGCGCCAGACAGACGCCAGCAACAGAAAGTTTTATATTTTACAGTTTTTGTATGTAATTTCATCACTAAATCCACTTCTGATTGTGAAGTTTTGAGGTGAGAAATCAGCTGTGTAGATTTTGAATATTGACAGTTTTACAAAAAGTGATGGCGGAACAAAAATGTGCTTGAAGGTTTTCAGAGTCGAGGAGCTCCGGGGGAAGCCTGCGCCAACGCGTGGGAGGAGCGTGTGAGGCCGCCCAGCCGCCCGCTCACAGAGTCACACAGACCGCTGCAGCAACGACGGCAGAGGAAAACACAGCTGGAAGGTTTTCATACCGCTTATCTGTCTTTACATTCTGAGGATTTGTTGAAAGGGTACAATCTGCAATGGAAAATGGAGCACGGCAGAGTAGAAGCGAGGCGAGTTGAGCTGGTACTGGTGATGGAAAAGCAGCTATAGACACTAAACAATTGATTCAAGATGGCCTAATATTGCTGTTTGACTGTCAGACTACACCAAATACATTAAAAAGGTATCTCCTAACACATTTATTGTTTTTCAATCTGGTGTTGAGGATTTGGGGTTTGTATGGCATCAAGATTTATATTAAATAATGTAATAATACTTTTTCCTATTATTTAATAATTCATATCAGAATATAACTTAAGGTAGAATCACCTCGAGGCAGCACTCTTTAAAGAAATTAATAGTTACTTCATTCAGTCTCATTAAATACACTAAACTATTAATTTGTAATTTTGGTTAATTAACTTAATAACTAAAATAAAATGACCATTAATAGTTAGTGGGTTGAAGGATTTGGAGTTCTGTGTCAAGAGGTTGGCAGTATATTCATTCTTATGCAACATTCAAAGAAACGGCATGTACAGTGGGGGAAAAAAGTATTTGACCCCTTGCTGATTTTGCAGGTTTGCCCACTTACAAAGAATGCAACGATCTATAATTTTAATCATATGTACATTCTAACAGTGAAAGACAGAATCCCAAAGAAAATCCCAGAAAATCACATCATATGAATTTATAAAAATTGATAACCATCTGATGAGGAAAAACAAGTATTTGACCCCCTACCAAACAGCATGTTAATATTATGTAGAAAAGCCATTATTGGCCAGCACAGATGTCAAACGGTTTTTATAGTTGGTGACAAGGTTTGTGCACATTTCGGCAGGGATGTTGGCCCACTCCTCCCTGCAGACAGCCTCCAAATCATTCAGGTTCCGAGGTTGTCGCCTGGCAACTCGAATTTTAAGCTCCCTCCAAAGATTTTCAATTGGATTCAGGTCTGGAGACTGGCTAGGCCACTCCAGAACCTTGATGTGCTTCTTCTTCAGCCACTCTTTTGTTGCTTTGGCGGTGTGCTTAGGGTCGTTGTCGTGCTGAAACACCCATCCTCGACCCATCTTCAGCTCTCTCACTGAGGGAAGGAGATGTTGGTCCAGAATTCCACGATACATGGCCCCGTCCATCCTCCCCTCAATACGATGGAGTTGTCCCGTCCCCTTGGCTGAAAAGCACCTCCAAAGCATGATGTTGCCACCACCATGCTTGACGGTGGGGATGGTGTTCTTTGGGTTGTACTCGGTGTTCTTTGCCCTCCAAACACGACGAGTTGAGTTGAGGCCAAAAAGTTCTATTTTGGTCTCATCTGACCACATCACCTTCTTCCAGGCCTCTTCTGAGTCGTCCAGGTGGTGAATGGCGAACTTTATGCGGGCCTGTACATGTTTCTTCTTGAGCAGGGGGACCTTGCGTGCGCTGCAGGATTTCAATCCATGACGGCGTAGTGTGTTACCAACCGTTTCTTTTGTAACTGTGGTCCCAGCTGCCTTCAGTTGATTCATCAGTTCCCCCCTTGTGGTTTTGGGATGATTCCTCACCGTTCGCATGATCAGGGACACCCCACGAGGCGAGATGTTGTGTGGAGGCCCAGACCGAGGGAGGTTGGCGGTGGTGTGGTGCTTCTTCCATTTCCTGATAACTGCACCGACAGTTGATCTTTTCTCTCCAAGTTGCTTTCCGATTCTCTTGTAGCCCATCCCAGCCTTGTGCAGATCAACAATCTTGTCCCTGATGTCCGTAGAAAGCTCTTTGGTCTTGCCCATGGTGGTGATGTTGGATGCTGGTTGTTTGGGTGTTGACAGGTGTCTTTTATACAGGTAACGATGTGAGGCAGGTGTATTTGATGTAGATAATTGGTTGGGATTGGGGCTGTGTCTTAAAGAAAAGACTAACTGGCTTGTAGGAGCCAGAATACTTGCTGTTTGTCCAGGGGGTCAAATACTTGTTTTTCCTCATCAGATGGTTATCAATTTTTATAAATTCATATGATGTGATTTTCTGGAATTTTCTTTGGGATTCTGTCTTTCACTGTTAGAATGTACATATGATTAAAATTGTAGATTGTTGCATTCTTTGTAAGTGGGCAAACCTGCAAAATCAGCAAGGGGTCAAATACTTTTTTCCCCCCACTGTATAAACACGGGCGTTTATTTAACAAAGCAAATACTATCAAACTGAAATGCAGTCAGACAAAGGGAACAAAGAAATGTCTCTGATAAGGAGAGAGAGAGAGTGTGTGTGTGTGTGTGTGGTTAAACAAAGGTGCAGGGGGGAAAAAGTTTCCTTTGGCAAACGTTTGTTTAAGGCCAAATTATATCTGTATGTGATCTGTGTAACGGTGTCGAGTCAAAAGGAGTTCGTTGGCATGCAAAGACTGCATGAAGTATAACCTCTCTAACCACTTTAGTGGCAGTGGCAGTAAATTCCCAGGTATGTTTCCCGTCTGTAAGGAAAGAAGGTGCTTTGTTGTTGCTAGATGATAGCTGGCAGGTCGATTGTGGATGGAGCCAGGCAGTGAAGAATTGTTTGGTTGCAGTCTGTGCTGTGCTGTGATACAGATGAGATTTCTGTTCACTGAACTGGGTATCTTAAGCGGGACCTTGTGTCGCAGCTGCAAGATCACAGAGATGATCTTGGTGTCTGGTCTGAGCAGGCCAAGCTGAGAGGCCGCTGTCCTCCAGAAAAGGAGGGAGCCGAGGGGAAGAGGAGTCGAGGTTTGTTTTTAATCAAAGAAGTGTCGGAGGTCACTGAACAATTAAATCTCTTGGCCACATGCCTGTGAGGTTTTTGGAGGATTCCTGGGAAACTGTTCAATGACTGATGATAAAAGTTCAGTTAATATTACAAATGAACAACTTCACCTTTGCGAGGTCCCTGTGATCCCAACAGGGTCGTCTCACTGACGCCCAATCTACACTAAAACACGGAGTTTTAAAACGAATACGATCTCCGTCCACAGCAGCGTTTTTAGCTGCGTATCAGAGTTGATCTCCGTCTACACTAAAACGACTGAAAACGCACATCTACTGGCCGTTCACGTTCACTGTGAAGCGCGTGCCGGTGTAAACATGAAGCAGACGGTCTGTTCCGTAGTTACAGAAGATTTGGCAAAACAGTAAAGAAATACAGACGAAGAACCGCACCAGAGTTTTTGCATGGACCAATAACGAGCTGGGACTGTTACTGAATGTAACAGCAGCTGCATTTCTAAAGTCCTCAGTTTTTGCCAGTCTGCACCAAAACGCTGCCTGGAGTTTTAAAAAGAAACACGGGGTCAGCTGCGTTTTCAAACTTCTCCGTTTTAGGTCTTTGTTTTTGCCGTTTTAGTCTGGACGGGAGGTGCAAACGTAGCAGTAGGTCTGCGTTTTAAAACCAATACGCGGTTGTGTGGATGGAGCCTGAGATCCAGAGAGAGACCTGAGTGAACCAGATAGACCGAAACACAAACACAGCCAGACAGAACAAAACACAGCATCTGAGGCGGTCACAGACGTCGCTAATAAGATCTGGAGATGAGAGTTTGTGTTATGGAGATGCTGCTGGAAAGCGTCGTCTCTCACATTGACCCAAAATGTGTGAAACTGGGTTGAGGTCTGGTGACTGTAAAGGCCTCGGTATTTTAATCGGAGAGGCGTACTGCAGGGAAGCATCCGCACGTGATGTTCCTCCTCTCTTTTATTCATGGTTTTCCTGTCCTTTTCTCCCCCATGTGTATGTTTTCATGGTAACAGTCAGCAGGTGCAAACAACAAAGAGGGAACATAACTTATAGTTTGTGGTTTGTTCTGCAGGAGTGTTCTGATTGGGCCTGGCAGACTGTTAGCAGAAGTGAGTCCTGTCCCATTTGATAGGACTTCATCTCGA